AATAATGAAAAGGGCCAAGAGGGTTTGCTCTGTTGACAAACAGCATTAAATAGTTAAATCAAGCAAAGAATGGTGCACATTTTAGAACCTGACAAGCCTCTGTGCTCATGAGCTGTGAGACCTTGGGCAAATTAATTGAGAGTAATCAACATTTTGTTTTATCTCCAATAAAAGAGAATAACCTGTCCTGAACATGTCATGGGAGAGTTGTGAAGAACAAATAAGGTCAAATAAATAAGAGGCAGCATTTTTTGAACCTGTAACATTACCATATAAACATCATTATTTTTTAAAGGCCCAGATATGCCCATTCAACTGAATAGGCCACTGTGTTGCTTAGGATTCTGCAAGCAACAGAAATGATCTAACTAAACAAAAACAGAATTATTGCAAAAAATGTGATGGGGGATAGGATGGTAGGGAAGAAGAGAACAATATAGCTCACAGAATCAAAGGAAAGCTGAAGACTCAGGCTCAGAAACAAGAACCAGGAAATACTAGTACAGTGGGAGAGATATGGGTAGAAGCATATTGTCTCATTTGTTTTAATTGTCTCATTTGTTTTTTCCTCCTGAGTCATTCCACTCAAGTCGAAGTCTCACAGTTGGAGAGTCTAGGGAGCAGGGCATCTTGACATAATTCCCATTGATACTGAGAAACCATGAAGAGGAAATAGTTTCCCATAAGGAAGTTAAATGGTTCTTCATGAAAGAGGAGTAGAATGGACAGTCAATCACAAGAAAACTACAAAGTATTTCAAAAGAGCATTCATGCCTTTATGCCTTTATGTAATTATATGCATAGACCAACTTGAAATTCAATTGTGAAGACTAGTGGAAACTAAGCTTAGAAAAGTAACAGTTAAGACTAGTGCAAGTGAATGAGTGGATTAGAAAACTATGGTACACCTATACACAATGGCATACTACGCTGCTATAAAAAAGAAGGAATTCTTACCATTGCAGCAGCATGGATGGACCTGGAGAGCACTGTGTTAAGTAAAATAAGCCAGGAAATGAAAGAAAAATACCACATGATCCCACTCATTTATGGGAAAAAAAAGAACATTATAACCTGATGAACAAAAAGATAGATACAGAGGCAGTAAAGCACCGAACAGACAGTCAAATTATAGCAGGAAGGCAGGGAAGTGTTGGGAAGAGGGGGGAAAGAGAGCCACCAAAGGACTTGTATGCATGTATATAAGCACAACAAATGGACACAAGACATGGGGGCGGGGGGATGAGGGCATGTGGCAGGGGGTAGGGAAGGCCAAGTGAAGGTCAATGGGGGAAAATAAAGGAGATATATATACTACTACGGTGTTTCCCCGAAAATAAGACATCCTCCGAAAATAAGACCTAGCGCATGGAAAGATAAGACATCCCCTGAAAATAAGACCTAGTGCAACTTTGGGAGAAAAAAATTAATATAAGACACTGTCTTATTTTCAGGAAAACGGTATATGTAATACTTTAAACAATTTTTTAATTAAATAAATTAATAAAAGATATCAACTGGGGGGTGGGAAGTTATTGTTGGCTGGTGATGGAAAAAAGAATTTAAAAAAAAAAAGAAGTCATTGAAAAAAGAAAAAAAGAAAAAAGTAGTACAAGTGAAATGGCTTATTCCACTTACTGGAATATAGTTCAGGCTGTTTGCTTCCCCATGGCCTTCCCAGTGGGGCTGGGAGGAGGCAGCTGGCTGTTTCTGGGCCAAAGGTCAGTGAGGTATACGTTCACCTGGAGAGTCATTATACACTGACCTTTGGCCTTGGCGATTTTCCTCTACTTCCATAGATACCAATTTTGATACAGGAGTTGAACTGGAAACTTTGAGTGGTGTTACAGCTGCAATAATTGATTTGTGTCAATCACCTCTTCTCTTTGAATCTCCCTCACTTTGGTTCAGATAGCATGGACAGTCAGTAAATGCTTGAATGCATGAATGAATGGGGGACACTAGCTAGATCCTTTTAAGGGAATTAAAGGAGATAGCATGTATAAACAAAATAAGCATCCAATAGATGCTAAAGCAATAGTTATCACACTAACAGAAGGAAGAAGAATAAATACGATGATGATGATGATAATGATGATAATGATGATGATGATGATGATAGTGAAGATGATCTCTCTTGGCTTTGGAGTCCAATCAAATTCATTGCAATCCTGGCTCTGCTACTTACAAACCATAAAGTAATGGTTCCATTTGCACATCTGTCAAAACCTTTGTTTTGTGAGGACTTAATGGCTACTATGAGGAATTAATGGCAGGTGTCTGGAACATACTACACACTCAGAGTAGGCAGGCTTGGCCCGAAGAATGCAGAGATGTGCACTTTTCTTCCTGGGAAGAGTTTGTCTTTTCCTGGCCATTTTGATGTTAGTGAGACTTCCAGCAGAGTCAGTGCCTTCGGCAGAAGACTGGATATGAAAAGAAGTTGCTTACGTGAGCTTCATTCACAAGCTAAGAGAAGCTCTGAGGCAGGGAATCAGATGGGAGTCCAAACTCCTGATTCAGTTAAGGGCCTGTCAGAGTTGGAAGGCGTGGCTACGCCCTCCTGTCCTTGTGCTCTCCTCACAGCTCCCAGGAATGAGTTTTGGCAAATGCTTCAAAGGAAGCAGGGCCTGAGGGGTTGTCTTTGGATACAGCAGGGCCCACACACCCCTCTCCACAGCCCATCTTGGGGAGGGGAGGAAGGTGGCCCAGGGGACAGGTAGTTAAAAAGGGCAAGGTCACTTCTCCAAGAGGCAAGGGAGACAGAGGTCCCAAGGCCATTGCCCAGAAGCAAAGCAAAGCAAGGAGCACTTTAAGAGGAAGGTCACTGGGAAGCCCCTTGGAGGGACCAGAAAGGGAAATTTGGCCATTACCAGGGATCCACCGGGCCCCATTAAATAGACATCAGGGACTCGCTGCAGCATGATCTTTAGCTCTCAGACCCCGAGGTCACTCTTCCCTGAACTGTGTTTGGATTCAGAAAGCCAGCAGTGAGCCGAGTGGATGAATCAGAGTGAAGCACACAGCTTAATCAGGGCACGAAAGCAGCTGACAAATTACAGCATGATTTGTCATCATCTCAGAACTCGGCAAGTGTTTGTCCCTGAAAGAATCGATACCTGGAGGGAAAAAGGGCCATATTTTTAGAAACTCCTAGATGGGTAATTTATTTCAAGTGACTGGAGGGTTTATTTATGCTGGTGCCTCCACAGATCCAATGGACAGTATATTTACACGAAGCCAGAAAATGCTATCATTTCTTCTAATCAATTTGCCCCTTTGAACAGCTGTACCTTGGAGCTCTCAGCCATAAATTCACTCCCTGGGCTAAAAGCTCTACCCAGGCAACCGTTTCCAGTCCCGCCCCTAGCATTTCTTCCTTCTGTTTGCTTAGCACGCTGCACTTCTCACTCCTTTCCCACATGGATTCTGTCTCCTGGGGCACAAATGAGATGGACAAGGGGTTGGCACTAGTCCCATTCTACACATGGGGAAACTGAGGCTCAGGAGTTGAACATAGTAGTAGTCCTGGAATTAGAAAGCAAGATTTCCCCACCCTTAGTTGTATCCCCATTCCCACTGGACCAGAAAAGATTATACAACTAAAATGCCTAATGAAAGAAAAGTGGAGAGTCAAGGAAGTGTTTGAAGTACTTGGCTCCAAGATTGTTCACCAGGACAGAGTGCTGTGCAAGTAACACCAGACGGTCTAGTCAAACTTGCTTTCAAATCCCAGAACTGGCCATGGGCACCAGCGGAACCCTTCTGGGCCACAGTGTCTCCAGCTCTAAGCAGGGGATCATTAAAATTCCCATTTCGTAAAATAACTGTGAGCTTGACAATATGTGTAAAGTTATCATGATGGTGTGTGGCAGAAACGAAAGTACAGTCAATGCCATTTATTTTTATTTATTTCAAAGAAGAAGGGAGAGGGAAAGAGAGAGAGAAACATCAATGATGAGAGAGAATCATTGATTAGCTGCCTCCTGCGCCACCCTACTGGGGATCGAGCCCGCAACCCGGGCATGTGCCCTTGGCTGGAATCAAACCTGGGACTGACCCTGCAGTCCACAGGCCATGCTCTATCCACTGAGCCAAACCAGCCAGGGCTATTTCATTTTATTGCCAACTATTATCACAGAGGTTTTACAATAGCAAAAGAAATCAAAATAATGTAAATGTTCAATAGTGAAATGATGAAGGAAAATATGGTGGCATTCAGACAGCAGGTGTCTATGCAGGTATTAATGAAGATGTAAAGAATTTTTTAAAAGATGTAAAAATGTTCAAGTATATAAACACAAAAATCTCAGTTTTCAAGTGCATGACTGTATACGTGTGTCCATAAACAGTCATGCACTTGTGTATGCCTGTGTATATATGTATTTTTTAAATCCTGGGAATATTACATAAGAACATTAACTGTGGCTATCTCTAAATGGCATGACATACAATCTCTTCTTTTTGATCATCTGTTTCTGTGCTGCCCCGTGTGGTAGCTATTAGCCACATGTAGCTATTTAAGTTTTAATCAATGAAAATTAGTAAAATTTAAAAACCAAACCTTTAGTCATCCTACTATATTTCAGTAGACCCCTATGATTTGTGGCCTCCATATTTTGGACAGTGCAGAATAGAACATTCCCATCAAGGTGTGTGGGCAGTGCTGGTCTAGCGACTTAACCACAGGTCTTTCTGGTTGTCACACTGGTGAGCATGCGGCAGGCATCTGGGAGATAGAGGCCAGAGATGCTACTAAACATTCTGCAAGGCAGAGAACATGTGGTCTCTGGACATGGGTAGTTGTTCAACTTTGCTGTCAATCCAAATTTTATTTGCATTTAGGTTCTCTTCTTTCATGAGGATTTAACTTTTTTTTCTAATGATGACTACTATCACATTGCGACAAAGCTGGGATTACCTTATTCACAACGATTAACTCCTCGATCTATTAAAAGTGGATCCCTCTTAATAATCTTGTGACATCCTCTCTCTCACAGGAGGCCCAGTTCAAACCAGAACACTTCCACAACACCATCGTGTGTGAGAAACCCAACAACCACCTCAACAAATTTAAGGGTTACATGTAAGTATCTCATGCCCATGTGCTGCTAGTACATATCTCCTCTTCAGCGAGAAACATTTTTTCCTTAAAACAGCCAAACAAACAAGCATTCGGGTCCTGAGGAAATGTCTTTCTTTTTTATCACTAAGAACAGCTAGAGAAACCTCAGTGAGAACCGCAGGAGGTTTGGTGTCTGTGGCCTGAGTTCCCGAGTCCTAGGTGTGTGGCTTTGGAAAAATCCATCATCCTCTCTGAGCTTCACCTTTTTCATGAGGAAGGATTATTCCCCAGGGTCTTGAAGAGTCAAATAAAATAACATCAGACAATGTAGATTATAGACACAGTAAGGAATAATTAATATTAAAAGATATTCTTAGTTATAATAGAGCACTCTAGAGCCAGGCTTACTGGGTTTGAATCTCTGTTCTGCCCCTTACTATCTCTCTGAACTTGCCTCAGTTTCCCTATCTATAAAGTGGGTATGATCACATGACCCTATCTTACAAGGTTGTCATGATGATTGAGTTAATACATTAAAAAAAAAAAAATACACATATGCCAGCCCTAGAAAAGAAAGTATTGAAGACCTAGAAGGAGAAAAAGCCCTAAACGTTCTGATTATTATTTTTCTTCACTCAAGTATTGTGGGGAAGTTATGTTTAAACTTCTGAAAACCCCCAAAGGAAAAAGCATCAGGCTGGAAGAAGGGCCAGACACAGGGTAAAACCTGGGGTTAGTTGGACTCGGAATTTTTAAGTGTGAGGCCAAAAAGGTGCAATCTCCTTGAGCCTTGAGAGAGGGGAAAAAAAACTCAATCCCGCTCTAAGAAGTCGCCTCTCCTACATGGCACCAAGGCCACTGCCCACCTCCCTTGAGATCTGTTTATTTTATGAGACGGAGCCAGAGGAGGACAGTGCAGGAGTGAGGCCAGCGAGAGAAGGAGCTGGAGGAGAGGAACCCGCAGCTGCCCTTCCTGACCCAGCTCACATCCAAGAGGCAGGACTGCCTGGTGTCGGCTGTGGACTCAGACGGTCAGCTTGTACAGTTCCATCCCCACAGCCAGGTGACAGCAAGCATGAGACCACAGCCTGAAGGGAACACAGACATCCCTGAAGGGCCAGAAGCCAGATCCCTTTCAGGTGGGCAATGAGGATTTCCTTCAGGTGAGTCATTTCCTCTCACAGCCCAGCCCCCCAGGAGCTATCAGGAGTTGCACTTGAACATGGAGACTGGATTCCAAGTTAATACCCCTCTTCTGAAAAAGAGGGAGGATAGGGATCGTGTTCACTCACTGCTTCTATTATAGTTCTGGGATGCCACTGAGATACCATTGTGCTCAGTGATGGCATGGAGAAGCCACCAAACTACTTACTCCCCATCTTTCCTCATCCCCAGGGAGCATCCTGACCAGACCAGGACCGGCTTTGGCAGTGAGAGCCTTTTGCTCCGAGGATGCACCATCAGAAACACCGAGGTGGCTGTTGGCATTGTCATCTATGCAGGTCATTGTCCCCGTATAGTTTCTCTGGCCCCTCTCTACCTTCCCTCCTCTATCCCCTCCTTCAAATCCATCTCCACCAGGGGAGACTCACATCAGTTCTAAGGGGTAGTCACATAACTTCCCATTTCTCAGCTAAGCAAACTGAGGCTGGAACCACAGCTGCTCACTTGGTCCACAGGAGACATGTTAGATTCCAAGTTACTGTCACTCAACTGAACAAGACAGGGAGGGAGATGCCTGCTCCTTCACCTCCAATGGGTTTGTGACACTAGCTATATAAGCAAGATGAAGAGTATCTTATTGAACCTGAGGAATAACCTCACCAAACTTAATAACTTCAGCTTTTGTGCCTCAGCTTCCGCATCTATCCAATGAGAAAGTATTTGTATCTGCCTCATAGAGTACTTGCAAAGATCTAATGACCCAACACATGAAAAGCTCTGCATCTAGCACATAAAAATGTGATGGGTTTTCATTGTGTTCTGCAATTATTATTATTTATCTTTATTCATGTTATGGCTGCGGTTATGATGGTGTGTCTGACCTTGCCATGGCCATTTTGCTTTCCAATTAAAAAGATAGTAACACATTTCACAATGAAATCTAAAGCCTTACAACTACCGTATCCCTGGGACCTAGAACCTGGTGCTCCATAGGTTCTCAATAAATATCGGTTGTAACGTTGACAACTGCAGGCTTCTTCCTCTGTAGGGGCAACACGGTCTCCCCGAGGTGTCTACTTTCACTGGAGGACTCCAGAAGACATGTCTCTGGGTCTTTTATTCATGAGGATACCTTGCTTGTTGCTTTGTTTGATTTGTTTTGGTCTGAGTAGAGCCCCACTTTTGATGGCCATTGAAGAGCATTCTAAACATCAATCCATCCTAAGATTCATTTTTTGGGACTGTTAAAAAAAAAAACAAAAACAAAAACAGGTTTTTAAACAAATAATGACACAATTTAGCTAGCTTCCCCTAATTTGGGGGAAGGTGGGGTTGTATTTGTCAGTTCAGGTGACTGTTTTGAAGGGGCTTTGGTGATGAGTTCATTGCCATCTGGCGGACCCACTAAAGGTGAGCTGTGCAGCAATCCCTGCCCCAGCAACAAAACCCACATGAACTTAGATTTGCTTTTCTGAGTGATCAGACACAAAGGAGGAACTCCATGTGCATGATGGGAATGATGTATGAGGGGACAGGTTTAGAGAGAGCTCACTGTGGCTCTGGGGGCGTCAGGCTGCCTGGGTTCAAATCCACTCACCAGCTGCACATTCCAGTGCTAGCTGGCTAAACTTTCGACATGGGTGCGCTAAGAGTTCCTATCTTGTAGGATATGAGGTTAAAATGAAATGACCTGTGAAACGTGTTAGCACATATTAGGTTCTCAAAAAGGATGCTAATTGTTTTCAGTGTTATTATCTAGAGCAGGGTTGGTCAAGCTTGGCACAATTGACTTACAGGGCCAGATTGCTCTTGGTGGTGGGGGCTGCCGTGAAAGATGTTGAGCAGCATCCCTGGCCTCTCCCCACTAGACACCATTAGCACCACCATCTCAGGATGTGCATCCACCATTTCTCTAGCCATTGCCAAATGTCATGGCAAAGTACAATCCCCCTGGTTGAGAACGACTGATCTAGAGTCTCTCCCTGGACAATATGGACAGACAAAATAGGAATATCCTCGGTATCAAAGGCCCAAAAAAGCCAAACTGAGCTTTGTAGAGGAAGAGATCCAGTGTGAGGTGTGTATCTCTACTGTGTACAGGGAACACACTGAGGTTCTTTGTGTATATTAATCCACTCCCCCGCCCCAAATATATACACAACCATCATCTCCCATTTTGCAGACAAGGAATTGGGTTGCAAAGAGAATCATTCACTCAAGGTCATTTGTCTCCTGGTATTAATTGTATGTAACCCAAGGTCAAATATCTGCAGAGTCTAGAGCCCACATTCTAATGGCTACATCATGCAGCTTCCCCCTCCCCCCTTGAGTCCAGCTCTTGTCAAAAGAACAGAGGGATTTCAATAGTGAGGATCAGGTGTCTGAAGAGAATGGTCCTGGGACCCCGTGTACGGGGTGACCCTGAGGAAGTCAGGGAGGCACAATATCGTCAGCACCATAAGGGTGTGCTCACTGTGCCATGCAAACCCCCTCACCACTGCAGTGACTCGGGTCTAATTTAATAAGCCTGGAGTTTGCTAGTCCCGCTGTTTTGTTGCCACTTTAAATCCACAGGGCAACTAGCTAAACAGCATTAAACCCATTCACCGCTGGAATGGATGTATTCATTTTCTTTAATTTTGCACAGAAAACATGTGATTGGTGTTTTTTAATTTGACTGCTAAGGAGTACAGCATGGTAGTTAAAAGTTAGCAGCCCTAGAGGACAGGCTTTGCCCAAAGACAGAGTCTCAGCTTGACTCAGCAGCTGGCTGTGTGTCTTGGGTACCACCAGGGGCTGCTTGGAAGGAGAAATAGGCTGGGAATTGGAACCCAGGGTTTTCAGTGTGGCCCTAATGGTCATTTATTCTTTCTTTATAGGCAGGTCCCTTCTACTTTTCTCCAACTAGAAAAGGGTTGGTTGGGTGAGATCAGTAGTTTTCAACTTTTGTTGTGCTTTCTTGAACAAAACATTATGCATGCAAAACTCCGAGACAGGAGTAGAGCTGTATGGGATCCCTTAACACGACCCGCGTGGTTCAGGGCCCACTCAGGGTCTGTTTTCTGGAGAAGGCCGCACACTAAAATGAAAAGACTGGAAAAGACTTAATTTGGGGAAATGGGGGCCAGGCGGGAAGTCCACCTCTAGTGGGAAGACTAACCCCTGCTCTGGCCTTTTACCATTCCTTTTATTGAGATTCTGAAACAAAGACATCTCTTAGGCGGGAAGTTCCAACAACAGAAAATCAACAAGAATTTACATTTACATATGATTAACAAATTAAAGTTGCCTCAACCACCACTATCTCAACTAGATGATGAGTTAAGAGCTCCGACCATTCAGAGCCACCAAGGTTGGCCAGCTCTTTTTACATTTTATTACCAGTGACAATGTTAGGTTTTGGTTCCCAGCAGAGCTGTACAAATTTAATGTTGATGTGGAGGCCTTTGGCCCTGACCACTCTTATGCAAGCAACACCAACGCCTTAGGCAAAGAGACAAATATGACAATTACTGGCCCCAAGCAGTGTCCTGCCCCAAGGTCTTGGCACCTACTATTCCCCCAGCCTAAAACCTTCTTCTCCCAACTCTTCTCTCCCTTCAAGTCTTCCTTCAATGTCACCTCTTCTCAAAAGCCTTCCCTGATTGTGTTTTCCAAAACCATCTCTTATTAGCCCCTTGTTTATTGTTTATGTCGTGGGACTTATTACTGACTGCAGTTATCTCATGTATTTGTTTCCTTGTATATTTTCACCAGAATGTGAGTCACCTGTCTGGTCAGTGTATTATCTCACTCTAGCCCATAACAGTGACTTAGTGCAAATTAGAAAGAGTCCTGCCGAAACTCAGTGGTAGAGTGTCGGTCTGCGGACTGAAGGGTCCCGGGTTCGATTCTGGTCAAGGGCATGTACCTTGGTTGCGGGCATATCCCCGGTAGGGGGTGTGCAAGAGGTGGCTGGTCGATGTTTCTTTCTCATCGACGTTTCTAGCTCTCTATCTCTCTCTCTTTCTCTCTGTAAAAAATCAATAAAATATAGTTTTTAAAAAAAAAAGAATCAAATGTTCATAAGGTGTTTAAAAAAAAAAAAAAAAGAAAGAGTCCTCAAAACAGTTTACTGTCATTTGCCAGAAATGTGTCATCATAAACTCACAAATTTATGACAATTACAAAATGAAGGGAACCTCTAGGTCTGTGCAGGGCACAACCTGAGCGTGGTAGCTCTGTCCATGCCCACCAGTTGGGGATGCTTAATAAGTACCTATTGACCAATTGTGAGAAGCCTCTCAGTGGTTCTCAACAGCCTCCCTGAGGCAGGACAGAGGCAGGTGAGGGCAGGAGGCCCCTCAGTTATTGGGGGCTCCTGTGGCTATGGTCCAGACCAGAGGCAAATGGGGGGCAAGAGACTGACAACTTCATTTTTGCTTGCAGGCCACGAGACGAAAGCCATGCTGAACAACAGCGGGCCGAGGTACAAGCGCAGCAAGATCGAGCGGCGCATGAACACGGACATCTTCTTCTGCATCGGGCTCCTCTTCCTCATGTGCCTCATCGGAGCTGTAGGTATGGAATGTTCTGGAAAGAACAACATACAATAATCTTTTTTATTGTAATCTTTTGTACAGTAATCTTTGGGGGGGGGGGGGCCGGAGGGAAGTTGCTTCAACTCTCTGAGTCTCAGTTTCCTCATCTATAAAATAGAGTTCATAAAAAATAAAGCTTCCTCTATATGATCACAGGATGTCAATGTGAAATCTCTTGAGTGTTAATTATACAAAATATTAAGAATATCATCTATTATTTAGTTGCTCAAGAAATACTGTCAGAAGTGAGCTCTGGGCACAGAAAACTAACATCAACTAACTGGTTTAACAGGGGTAGGGAACTGGCCCATGGACCATAAAAGGCCGGTGAAATCATTTGGTCTGGCCCTGCCAAGGCAGTAGGGGTGAGTTCATCAAATGTTTGACCAAAGAGAGCAGGCTAATGTTTAAGTTGCAGGAACCACTGGCTGCCTTTGCTTCAGGGCAGGTTTGTTTAAGGAATGTCGGGACTGGAAAGGACATTTGGGATCATCCCACTGTGTCCCCAGAGAAAGGAAGTTAATAGTTAAAAGTTCACACAGTGAGATAAGGTGCAGGCAAGCCGGAATCAGCTTGGCAGACTGCCCAAATTACATAAATTGGGAAAGTGATGGGAGGGGCAGAATTCTGTTCTTTCTGAGAAGAGTGACTCATGCACAGTGATGGGCCCCTGCAGGAGGTGAAAGCACTCAGTGAACTGCCCTCACAGTTCTTTACCACATGTTCACTTGGACTGTGTGAAGGTGGTGGTTCTTTTTTCTTAGCCCACAATGCATGGGGGAAATATAGAGGGTGGGTAAAGATTGCCAAGACTCCCATCACACAACTGGAAAGAACATGTGTCCCTTTCTCTATTTCCAACCCTTTATCACAGAATTTCATGAAAATGTAAGCCATCCCATGATACTCTCCTTAATGCCTACCAAGAGACTGACATGTAAGCTGTATGAAGTGCACACAAACACAGCTATATTATATAGAACTAGAGGCTCAGCACATGAAATTCGTGTGTGGGCCATTTTCCCCAGCTACCTCTAGTCAGCCCACCGCCACCACTATCCACCCCTGGTTCCTGTTCACCATCGAGTGATCTGAGCCTGCTGGCTGCGGGGGAGGAACTGAGAAGTCGGCTGTTCTGCCCACTTTCCAGCCTCTCTCCCCACTGCCACCCACCCTCGAGCGATCAGAACCTAACAGCTGGAGGAAGGGACTGGGAGGTAGTCAGTGCACCTCATAGTGACTAGTCGAGTGGTTGTTCTGGTAATTCTGCCATTAGGGTCAATTTGCATATTACCTTTTTATTATATAGGATAAGGGTGGACTCCTCCAAAGCATACTCATGTCCAGGAATAGGTTAAGGGCTGATGTAATTGACCAGCCTTGGAACTAAATGGAGATCCTGTCCCATCCTCCTTTGCCTCTTCTCAGGTCACAGCCTCTGGAACGGGACGTTTAGGGAACACCCTCCCTTCGATGTTCCAGATGCCAAGGGCAGCTTCCCTCCCCTCGCCCTTGGGGGCTTCTACATGTTCCTCACCATGATCATCCTGCTCCAGGTAGGAGCTCCTCTCACAAATGGCTACGAAGGCCTGTGGCCAATACCATACAACTCTGTGAAGGAAAGTTCAGTGCTGGCCCCAAGAAGGACCTGCCTGGACTGCTGTGGGGAAGTGTCCATTGCTTTCTTGTGGGCCTTTGAAAGTATTCCCATTCGGGGTCATGTCAGGATCAGCCCTGCTTTGTGAGGGGACCCTCCCCCCAGATCATCGTGGAGAAAAATATTTATTAGGCTTTTCTATATAAGAGTAAGATTACAGCAGTGACCCACGTGTGCCTGGCCCTTTGCCGGATACTGAACAGGGGAAACCTAATACCTGGGGAATAAAAGAAGATAAACTAGCACAGAGAACTGTCAAACCCTAAATACTGAGAGCAAGAAACCACAGATTAGTGTCATCACTTGAGATTTAAAAACACAAGGGTGGGGGGTGGGCACTGACCCTATAAAAAGAAAGAAACAAAAACCCAGGGAACCTACATGAGAGAAGGAGAAAAAAATGTACAGGCTCTATAAGAATACAATCTATGAAAAGATGATGCAGCTTCATCTACACTCCATTTCTTGTAACTACTTGAAGGTGTTTCACTGTCTTCTTACTGGTGAACTCTTTTGAGTCATTAGTTCATTCATTCATTTAGCAGAGTAATCCTTTTTTATGTGTGAATCAGGTCATACCCCTACTGTGCACAGACCAGTGTTTTCATATCCTCCTGAAGTCAGTGATTTCATATCCTCCCGAAGTCAAGTCCAAAGTCCTTACTGCCGCCAACAAGCCATCAATGATCTGGACCCTGACTTCCTCCCTGTCCTGTTCACTCACACACTTACTCTCACCCCCCAACACCCGCCCACTCCCACTGCCCAGCTGCTGCCCGGAATTCTCCTCCTCCCACAGATATCCTTGGGACACACCCTGTCTTCAAGCGTCTGCTCAAAGGTCATGGTTGATAAGAGTCCCTCCCAACTATCACCCTCTACCCTCTTTAGTTTTTCTTTGAGACTCACCATTATCCAGGGTAATATTTGTTTGTTGGAATTTGAGGTCTTCAAGGCCAGGGATTCTGTTCTGCTCACTGCCATGTCCAGGACCAGGAATAATATGTGACTCACACAAAACGCTCAATAGATATTAGGTGTTGAATCAGTGGCCAGTAATCAACAATGGGTCTGAACACCTGTAAAAGTGGGAGGCCATCTTCCATGGCACTGGGATCCAGGAGGAGTTGGGGGACTCCAGACAGAGGCATGACAGCTCCTCACACACTTCCCACTCTGCATTAAACAACCAATGGCAAGGGCCTGTCTCATACCAATATCCCTGCCTGAAAAAGGCATAGCCCCTAAGAATGTCAAAAGAGGCATGATGCCCGGACCTTTGATTTCCCAGAGAAAATCCATCACACAAGCAGACCTCAGCTTTCTATTCAATGCCTTTGCCTTCCATAAAAGAGGGTCCTGAGAGAAGGTCCTGACACAGGGAATCGGCCTGGCTTCTGACTCCATGGGACTCGGTCTCTTTCAGGTGCTGATCCCCATCTCCCTGTATGTGTCCATTGAGCTGGTTAAGCTGGGGCAAGTGTTCTTCCTGCACAACGACCTGGACCTGTACGATGAGGAGACGGATCTGCCCATCCAGTGTCGAGCCCTCAACATCACGGAGGACCTGGGCCAGATCGAGTACATCTTCTCCGATAAGACGGGGACGCTGACCGAGAACAAGATGGTGTTCCGGCGCTGCACCATCGTGGGCAGCGAGTACTCGCACCAAGAAAACGGTACAAAGCCTCCCGGGGGGGGCCCATCCTTATTCCTGAAAGAATCACTGCTCTCCTAGAGGATGGGTAATTAAAGACGTCATGCTGGCTCCCACAGTGGTTGTGTGACTTGTGAGAAGTAGCTTTCTGTGTCCCTGGGGCTTCCTGGTCACAGATCAGCACTGTTCTCATCACCTGTGAACCTTCTTGTGTTCACAAGGCTGTCAGTGATCTCTGTGTGGCCCTCCAATCGCTCTGTCCTGCACCATTTACACACAACGTTTTTACCTGTCAGGAGTGGCCTGGGGACATGTCCCAATGATGTGCCCAGGTTTGAGGATTTCTCGGGTAACCTTATCAGAGAGGACAGGCCAGATATAGGTGCATGGGCAGATTTGATACACCTGGGAAATGCCTTCCATGCTCCGTGATCTCTTGAAAGCTTCAGCTTAGCAGATGTGGCTATAAAGTGCCCAGACTGTCATTTGTATGGAATAAAGATGGCCTGTAAAGCTGACCTGGTCCCCTCAGCTCCAACTCCCATACACACATGCATATGTGTGTATGTGCACACACACACATACTTTTTAACTGAGAAAAGAAACTCTCAAGAGATCAATATTCATTCTTTTGAGTATGAGGAATGGAGAAGAAGAAAGAAGGTGATATTATAAGGAACCCAATTCCCTTTGCCATGATGTTAACCATTTTTATGGGGCCTTCCGATCCTTTCATTAAAAAATTTTTCCCATTTTTTTAAATTAAGGTATTATATGAGTACATATCTTACCATTGCCCCCCACCCCATTCCCACACATGCTCTCATCCCCCAGTGTTTTGCATCCATTGGTTATGCTTATATGCATGCGTACAAGTCCTTAGATTAATCACTCATCTCCCTCACCTCTCCCTAACCTTCCTGCTGTAACTTGACATTCTGTTTAATGCTTTACTGCCTCTATCTTTTTGTTCATCCATTTATAATGTTCTTTACTATCTACAAATGAGTGAGATCATATGGTATTTTTCTTTCATTGACTGGCTTATTTCATTCAACATAATGTTCTCCAATTCCATCCAGGTTGTTGCAAATAGTAAGAATTCCTTCTTTTTATGGCAGCATAATATTCCATTGTGTAGATGTACCATAGTTTTCTGATCCAGTCATCTGCTGACGGGCACCTAGGCTGTTTTCATATCTTAGCTATTATAAATTGTGCTGCTATGAACATAGGGGTGCATATATCCTTTCAGATAGGTGTTTCTAGTTTCTTTGGATATATTCCTAGGAGTGGGATTACTGGGTCAAATGGGAGTTCCATTTTTAATTTTTTGAGGAAACATAAAAAATATTTTAATTGATTTCAGAGAGGAAGGGGGAGATAGGAACAGTAATGGCCCTAACCGGTTTGGCTCAGTGGATAGAGCCTCAGTCTGAAGACTGAAAGGTCTTAGGCTCAATTCTGGTCAAGGGCATATACTTGGTTGCGGGCACATGCTCAGTAGGAGGTGTGCACGAGGCAGCTGATTGATGTTTCTCTCTCATCGATATTTCTAACTCTCTTTCCTTCTCCCTTCCTCTCTGTAAAAAATCAATAAAATATTTTTTTTTAAAGAAAGAAACAGAAATGACCCACACTCAGGATCGAGCCCACAACCCCAGGCATATGTCCTGACCAGGAATTGAACCATAACCTCCTGGTTCATAGGTCGATGCTCAACCAAGCCACACCAGCTGGGCCCTTCTGATTCTTTTTTAATAATAAAAACAGCTACCATTATCAGTACTTAGAGTATTCTAAGTCTCCAAACCAACCCTTAGTGTTCAGTACTTTTTTTAACCCCCTGTATGAGAAAATGGAGGCATGGGTTTAGCCAAAGCTCAGAGCCACAGAGCTAGGAGGTAGCAGAGCCAGCATCTGTACCTGTGGAACTTGGTTGCACTCTTTTCTCCAGTCAGGACAAGCTAACTGCTTGCCAGAGCAGCACAGTGTTCTTCCTCAGTGTCCTCAACCCCCACTTCGAGTCTGGGATCTTTCCAGCCATGGTCTAGCTCAGGTATGACAGGGGCAATAACAGGACTCCTTTCCCACAGCCAAGAGACTGGAGGTCCCAAAGGAGCTGGACTCAGACAGCGAAGAGTGGACCCAATACCAGTGCCTGCCCTTCCCGGCCAGATGGGCCCCAGACCCAGCAGCAATGAAGAGCCCAGGAGGCGTCCAGCCTCTGAGGAGGAGCCAGAGTGCCCGGGTACCCATCCAGGGCCACTCCCGACAGAGGTCCGTGGGGCGCTGGGAAAATGCACAGTCTCCTGTGGCCTTCAGCAGCTCCATTGTAAGTCCCTGCCTTTTCTTTGAATTGCAAGTGGCTTCTACTGGGAAGAGATGGAAGGGGGCCCTGAGGTGTGAGAGACAAAGACCATAAAAACCCTGAAGGGCTCTCCAAATGCCAGCCTTGGTCTTATATGCAGTCCTCATGCATGCTTTATTGGGTATGCATACTTCTTGTTCATTTCCAATGTTTAGTATTTAGGAGATTTCACATAAACATAGATTTCTGGCTTGTGTTTTTAAAGAATGGAAGTGGGAAAATTCTTCACACTAAGCCAGCATTTCCCTGTGGAAGAAATTGGCTTGAATTTAAGAGTTGATGCCATTTAGTCTGGGCATGTAATCTCTAGTTCATCAGTCTCTGCCTCACTTCCATCACTGAGTTGAGGGCCAGCAGCATGTCAATTATGCTCATTTTTCCAACAGTACAGTTAAGAGGAAAGAGAAATATTTGCCATGCCCCGGTTTCTATAAAGTGGAAAAACAAAAGATAAGCCTACAGGCTTATGCATTTCAAGAAAAATGGGAGAATATCTTCTTCGTGACCATCAAAAAGAGTCCTCAGTTGTTATGAAGCAAAAACATCAATGTAAGAATTACCCAGCACATTCACTCCCTTAGGTTAACTGCCTGGCCCCTGTGGTCCTTCAACCCTGCAGCTTGCTGCATGTGGTCCCTTCACATTTGATCCACAGGGACACCCGTCACTAACTGTCCAGGGAGCCGATGAAGAAACTGAGTTTCTTCTACAAGATCTCACAGCATTCCCTGGGAGTGAAGGCCAGAACCAGGGCCTCTGGCTCCTGTCCATCTGCTTTCCTCTGCACCTTGCTCTTTCTCTAAGAGACACGGGACCTAGAATCTTCTGTTCTCACAGAAAAGCCACAGGGAACCCCAGCTTGTCTTTAAAAGGTCACAAACGTAAAGAGAAACCTTAAGTTCTAGTATGCCATGATTAGAAAATATGATTTTCAAAATAATCCTTTCAGTGAATTTCCTCCCAGGCTTTTATTTCCCCCATTAATACACATGCATAACTCCATATATTTAACATTTTTTGCAATCATAGCACATATAATTATAGGTTCTAGGTTTTTTGGATCTGACAAGATGTCAGGAGCATTGTTCGTTTTGCTGCCTCATATTCCTAATCCAGGACTGTGCTTTCTGACTGCAATAAGGAAAAAACACTGCAAGTCTGTGTGTCCCGGGTTGTTACTTCTGTAACTCTGAGTACAACATTGAGTTAACTCTTCCATGGCCAGGTAACTCAGTTGGTTAGAGTGTCATTCATTGGTACCATGAATTAGTGAATTCTCATTAGGCATGGGTTGTAGGTCTTGCACTGTGTGTGTCTTCGGCATTTTCCAGTTCTAGACACCATGAGTGGCCCATGTGCCTGAGAATGTCTCTGCCAGGACCCAGGGGGAGAGAAAGGAACCTTTCCTTGGTAGATCTCAGTTGGGGCTCACAGATTCACTGCCCCTCTATTTAACTTGACAAATCTCAGTCACCCAGGAAAACTGCAACCCTGAGCCAACCCAGTCTAACTTCTATTCGGGGCCCTTCGCTGCTTGCTAGTCAGTGAAAGGGACACATTAACCTCTGAGCTATCTCCAGATCCTGGATGTCAACCCCCTCCCTTACTGGCACTCTGAAAGGCAGTTCTAAGTTCATTCCAGAACAATAAGGAAATTGACACACAGATTAAGAGCCAATTCTTGTTGTCTAGGCAAATGAGGACGGTGATGCATTCTCTTTAAGAACTGCCACATGGGTCATTCTCCAGTCTGTTTGCTTGAAGATCTGGGGTTATGGGGCAATAGTATCCCCAGGTAGGAAGAGAACTGGGCTAAGGGTCAGGAAACGTAGGTTCTCATTTCAGCTCTGATACTGCCTTGCTGGGTAACCATAGCAACACGTCAGACCTCTTTCTATCCCTTTCATTACCTGAAAATAATTTACTTACAACTCTCACCAGCTGTTCTAAAACTCAAATAACATAATGTTCATGTTGACCTGCAAGGTCCATTTCAGCTACGCGTTAGACACGTTTGGGGGTCATCTCAGCTCTCCCATTATTAGCTCTGTGGCTTCGGTCAACTTATCCAGCTGGAGGCCTACTCATTCCCATCATTGTTCTGCCTCTCGAGCTTCTTTGGATGATTTAATTGTTCAAATCATGCATTCTAGAAGATGGGTAACTAATCGCAAGTTTTAAGTCATCTTTCTGAAAGAAAGCTCTCTGTCTTGGACAAATGATCCCGTCTCTGGGGACATATGGTGGTGCGGGGGGGGGGGGGGGGGTAGTATTAATAGGGGAATGAGCATCTTTATAAAATGCAATGCTGAGCCCTCTCCCCTGAGATGCAGGCCTATTTGGTCGATGGCAGGCCTGGGCACTCATGTTTTTATTTCTGATGTTCTAGTGAGCAACCAAGATCAGGACCTCTGTAAGCATACCACCACCACCACCCCACCACCACTACCACCCCTAGTCTACCTTTGGCTCAAATAGGCTCCTTCTCTAGCTTGGAAGGCATTGGCTGAAGGGGGTGGTTTGTGTTGCCTTTAAGGGCTTTGACTACCTGTAAAATATCTGTGGCTGGTGTGGCAGATCTTGGAATGAGTACATGGACCATGTTGGGGACAGACCCAGAAGATCTCCTGGTTCCTGCCCCTCCCCCCTACTTCTTGGCAGGTTCCTGAACTTGCCTCTCTGCCACCTGCCCATCTGGCAGTCAGCTGATCCCATCATCTCCTGGCACCACCAGGTCTGTACTTCCCTTTGTAAACACCGTTGGAACTTGCCTCCGAATCCCCCCAGGTGCCAAGCCTTGAGGGAGCACAGGGCCGCATTCTAAAGGAACTCATTCTTGGTCTCCTTAGCTCTTGGCTCCAAACCAACAATAAAATGGGTATCAACAGTACCGACAAAAGCCGGCTTCTTTCTTTTACTACAAAGAACAAGGAAGCATGGTTTTTGCCTAATAGGCTGCTATAAAATCTGCGGTCTGAGGGTGGGGTAGCACACTATGACAGGGTGAGGACTGAAACAGTATTTAATAGACTGGCAGATAGAAAATGAAATGCCTTTTTTTTTTCTTCTTGGTCTGCAAACAGCCAAGATTCGAGCAGAGAGTCTTTAAGAGTGCCACTTACAAAAGGTTTCCAGAACCATCAGACCAAAGAATATCTTCCTGGTCATAAAATTTGCATTGGGGACCGTCCAGTCTCCAAACATCATCACCACTCCCTTCTTTGGGTGCGGCCCCTTCCGGCCCTCCAGAAGGAACACCCTGACCCTCTGCCTTGTCCTCAGTCTTGGTCTTCCTTTCCTCCTTTGGAAGAGACTGGTGCAGCACTGCAGTCTGTTCCTGTGGGTAGACAGCCCACATACCCAGGCTCTCTCTCTCTCTCTCTCTCACACACACACACACACACACTGGATGGCCAGGTACTGCTTTAATCATCCAAGCACACAAAAATCTTTTGAAAGTGATGTGACCACACAAGTAGGGACAGATGAAGGCCATCTCAACTGTGCTTCCTTGGCCCCCAGGGCCCCTACTGGGGATGCATGGCTGCAGTGATCCTATTCATAAGAGGTGGAAAACTCCCTTCATGCTAGGCCACTAAGGATTCCACCACCACCACCATCACTGTGGGGTATATGTCACATTTGGAAAAAGCTTACCAGAACAATCCATGTGCTTTTCATGGTTACTGAATGAAGTAGAATTTTGGTAGACAGGAGGAGATTAATCAAACAAGGTAAGATCACAGGCATAGAATGGGAGTATTCATCCAGGAGACAGCAAACACACTGCCCAGCTAAGCGGAGGGTCTGTGTTGAGAAGTGGAGGGAGCAGAGACTATGAAAAAAATTGAGATAACAGAGTAAGTTGATGGTGCCAGCAATGAAGATCTCCTGAAGGTCTACTGAGCTCTAGAGTAGCTGAGGGAAATGGTGTTTAGAAAGATGTGCAGGTGATACATGTGAAGGGTTAGAAGGAAAAGAGGTGAGAGGCAGCAACATCAGCTTAGAGGTGATGCAGAAATCCCGGAGTGAGGCTACAGGATCTGAGCCTGTTGCTAGCATCAAGACTGAGGGCCAAATGGTGGGGAGACAATGCAATGAAAGAACTGCCAGAGCTTATAACTGATGGGTATGTGAGGTGAGGGAAAGGAAGGAATCAAGTAAGAATCTGTAGTGACCGGGTTTGCAAAGGGGGAGTCGTCTAGATTCAAGAGTATAGGGAAGACTGTTATCCTTTCCCCAGGCATGCAAAGAACCTGGTATGTTTGGAGGTTGCAGGGGAAGCTTCCTTTGAGTCCCCTTAAGAAAGACTCACCAAGTTCTTTCTCTCTCAGGAAAAAGATGTGACTCCAGATAAACACCTACTACCCAAGGTACAAGATGCTGCCCTGTGGCTGGAGAACTTGCCAGACTCCAGACCTGCCAAGGCTTCCCTCTCTACCACCTCCTCCATCGCTGACTTCTTTCTCGCCCTAACCATCTGCAACTCCGTCATGGTCTCCACAACCACTGAGCCCAGGCAGAGGGTAAGGATCGGTGATGGAGGGAGTGGCAGAGGAGGGGAGGAAGGATAAGGATAAGGGTGACACCCTGAACAGAAAGACAAGACACTTGGGCCCTAGTCACAGTATCACGATTTCATCCCTCTGAGACCTTGAACTCTTACCCTTTCTGGGCCTCAGTTTCCTCATCCTAACTAATAAAAAGGGAATACACTAATTGACCATCATACCCTCAAAGATGGCAGCCCCCAGCCACAAGATGGCGGCGCCCAGTCTCCTCAGCCCCACCAGGGTGGCAGGAGCGCAGCATGGCCGGGCCCGCCCCCAAGATGGGTCTGGCTGCTCCACACACCTGCCTCCAGAGTCCCCAGTCCCCTCAGCCCCCCATCTGCCCAGTGCTACCTGAGGTTCAGGTAACCAGGGCCAGCCAAGGCTTGCGCTGCCGGCAGTGGCAGCAGCAGAGGTGTTATGGGGCATCGCCTTTTCTTGATCTCTGGGTCACCTCCTGCCCCTAAGGGCTCCTGGACTGTGAGAGGGGGCAGGCTGGGATGAGGGATGCCCCCTCCTTCAGTGCATGAATTTTCATGCATCGGGCCTCTAGTTTTTTAATAAAATAGAAAAAGTTATATATGAACTCTCTATGTAGTTTTCAAATTTTGTGTCTGTCTGCAGGTTAGATATTAAGAGTTAATATTTACTGAGCACCTGCTACATGCCAGGCTCCATGCCAAACACTTTGGCTACATTATCTTTTAATTCTCACAACCAAACAATCCTATGCTGCATGGCTTTGCATTTAACAAGTAAAGAAACAGTGCTAGCCAGTTTGGCTCAGTGGGTCCCAGGTTCAATTTGGTCAAGGGCACATGCCCAAGTTGCAGGCTCAATCTCCAGTATGGGGCATGCAGGAGGCAGACAATCACTGATTCACTCTCATCATTGATGTTACTATCTCTCTCTCCTTCTCCCTCCCTCTCTGAAATTAATAAAAATGTTTTTTAAAAAAAGAAAGAAAGAAAGAAAGAAAGAAAGAAAGAAAGAAAGAAAGAAAAGAAAGAAAGAAGAGATTTCACCAAAGTTTAAAAAAAAAAAAAAAAGTGAAGAAACAGGCTCAGAGGGCTTGAGTAATTCAACAAAGGATTTATGGTTAATATAGGACAGAACCATCTATATGACTCCATAACAACATATTACACTGGTCTCTGCTTTTATATGGGGGTTAGAAGAAATTCCACCATATGTAATGTTCTGCCAATTGATAGACAATGCAGCTGGGTGGCCATTTATAGGAGATTCAACTCTGAATTATTTTTTAGTACTGAAATTAGCTGTCTTTAATTATCCACCGACTCTCACCCAGGCTCCCCTGTGAGTGCCTGATGAGAATAATTGGGTGTTATAGCTTGTGGCTCTGAAATTAAGACAAATGTTCACCCAGGCACCAATTCAGAGCCCCGCTTCTTATATCCTAATCCTAAACCATCCTGAGAAGTCACTTCAGCCACTGAAAAGTCGCCGGGTTAACAGAAGCCTTCAGGGAGCTTTGAGAGAAGGCAGCGTTACCTGAGAACTCTGTTTTCAAGAGGAAGAAGCAGCATTCAGGGGAGGACAGCATCCGCCTCTCAATATTTAAGTGAACAGGGAAGCTTCAGCTGGCTGGCCACTGGAGGGCCCAACCTCTGGAGTCAGACAGAACCAGACCTGAGGCCCAGCTCAACCTCCTGTACACTGGGTGGTGATGGCCAATTTATTGAACCTCTTTGTGCCTCAGTTTCCTCATCCATAAGCTGGGATAATGATAGTATTCCATAAAGTTGGGGAAGATGAAATGAGTTGATGCATGCAAAGATAGAGGCTATGGTAAAGTTGTGGGGAATGTGGACTCTTACTATGGGTCCAGCTTTTGTCTCATTTTCTTCCTCTGGTCTCTGATTAGAGTGGGATGGTCATTACCAATCCCAGGAATGTCAGGGCTGGAGGGAACAGCTGGCCTGACACTCTCATTTTACAGGTGAGTAAACTGAGATTTGCCTATAGAAGAAGACTTACCCACACCACAGAAGGCCCAAGTAACCCATTTCTTGCAAAATGACCTTCAGATTCTGCCACAGACTGAGTGACTTTTTTCCCCCAACATTGAGAGTAATGTTCTTCCCTCCTTCAAACCTAAGGTCACCATGCCACCATCAACCAAGGCCCTGGGGACCTCTCTGGAGAAGATCCAGCAGCTCTTCCAGAAGTTGAAACTTTCGAGCCTCAGCCAATCATTCTCATCCACTGCGCCCTCTGACACCGACCTGGGGGACAGTTTGGGGACCACCATGGCCACCACGGACTCGGAAGACAGAGATGATGTGTCTGTGTGCAGTGGAGGCTACTCAACTGATACTGACGGTGGCTACAGGAGTAGCACGTGGGACCAAGGTGAGGCCCTGGCATCTGGGTCGGGCACTTCCTTGGAGGAGGTGCTGGAGGATCCGGCCCTCGGCCCGGCCAGTCCTGAGCTCTGCTATGAGGCCGAGAGCCCCGATGAGGCTGCCCTGGTGCATGCCGCCCGTGCCTACAGCTTCACACTGGTGTCCCGGACACCGGAGCAGGTGACCGTGCGCTTGCCCCAGGGCACCTGCCTCACCTTCGATGTCCTCTGCACCCTGGGCTTTGACTCTGTCAGGAAGAGGATGTCCGTGGTGGTGAGGCACCCGCTGACGGGCGACATCATCGTCTATACCAAGGGCGCCGACTCGGTTATCATGGACCTGCTGGAAGACCCGGCCCGCGGTGAGTCCCCCCTCACCAGGGCTCCAGGAAGAAAGGGCTCCATGGTTTAGGAGGCAGCTTGGAGGGCAATGAGGAGTTCAAGTGACAGCACCTTTCGGCCCAGCAAATCCCAAGGAACACGGGCCACAAGCTGCTCTCCTCAAAGTGGTTCCTTAGCACACACTTCCTTCATTCCACGTGCCCTCAATCTGGAGAATGACAGTGCTTGGGACCCAGACTTGGGGAGCTCTTGTAAAGCAAGTCTCTTTAACTCCTTTATCCTCAATTCTAGTTTTCTAAACTCATTTAAACATGGATTATCCATACACTCTATTTTATTGTAGCAGGACATCCATTAACATACCCTAGATACTGTGGTCCTAATGCTTAGTTTTGGAGAGAGACCAACCAAACCCAGAGAGGGAACTGACTTCAGAAAGGAGGTGAGGTAACCAGTGACACATCCTCGGCCTGGGTACCCTGAGGCCTTTCATGCCGTCAGACTTCCCTGCTAGGCTCAGTGCACTCTGGGAAGCCTCAGTGGCCCTCTTTATCATCCTCTCCCCTAGCCTCTCCCAAATGGATTTTTCATAAGCTTGCACCAAGCCAGAAAAATGTTCCCAAGTCCCTAGCTATCAGTGTCTTGTTTTGGAGCAGCATGAATTAGTGCACAGACACTTCTTGATGGCTAACAAGGAAAAGACGGTTATGGGGCTATGATTCTCCCAGGGTAGCCGGTACCAGCCAAGCTTTAGAATTGCCCAGGCAGCCCTGTGCCTCCTGCATCACCAGCTATGGATCAAAGCCAAGAGGTTCATGAGGATGGATGAGCGTTTAGAATGGGAAGGGAGCTAATTAGGTTCTTTATCCCCAGACTCTGGCAGAGGAGTGAGTTCAGAGTTTCTGAGTCAAGGGAGCCACAGTATTCTGCCCCTGGGCAACAGCCATCAATGCTGCCCTGGAGATGTTTTTTTATTTGTTCCTCTCCCGGTTGCAAAATGGATTAGAGATGCTTCCAACAAATGACACATGAGCAATGGTACTATTAATAATTGAGGACTAGAGCTTTGAAAAGGAAGGGGGAACATAACCCTAGGTTTAACATATTTATGGTGTTTGCACGTTCAATTTGACCATGAGGTTTCTGTTAGCCTGAGCAAAAAATAGGTCAATTCAAAGGGAACCAGATGAAGGCAGAAGGATTTAATCTTAGGAACTGATGTCTTTGAAAATAAAATACTGCAAATAGTGCTCAATAAGGCAATGCATAAAGACTGTGCTTCAGGCACTAGGAAAACAGTAACACCTTCTGAAAAAGAGAAAGTAATCTTTGAAAGAATTTTTGCTGTATATAAAAACAGCCATAGAATAGAATCACGGGGAAAATCAGAGCTTGTTGTGCTTTCTTATACTTACCTTACTGTTAAACATTGTATTTTTAATTTTGCCTTATATGGAGGGATGGATGAGGTGCACAAAATCTGATTTCTACTTAGGGCCTCTGAAGATCTCAATCTAGCCCTGTTTTTTGTTTTTGTTTTTGTTTTTGTTTTTTAATGACTGAACCTTTTTCCAAACTTAGCTTTATAAAGTGCTGCAATTGATTAGAGATGTCTGTGACATCTTAGATAAAATAAGTGGCAATAGCATCAATCCTGCCCCATACTCACAAACCCAGGATGAAAAATTCCTTTTATCTGGTAGAGAAAAGTAGTGGAATTCAAGAGAAAAAGATTAATGTTTTTCTAAAAGAAATGTATTATGTAGGACTTCATAAACGGGACTTAGAGCAACCCAATGAAGTATTTTTCATTCTAAACACTATATTGGTAGGAAATGCAAACAATTTTTTTTTCTAAGACCATTTATTGCAAACCTAGTGTGTTGAAGAACTTAGCAATGGGATCCAGGTCCAAAGCTGTCTTGGAACCTAACTGAAGTAGATGACAGAGAAGGTGATGGGTAGGAAATCTAACCCTTAGCAAACTGTTGGTCATCTAGGGCTAACGTGGCTACAAAGAAAGCACCTGAGGACATAATAAAGCTCCAGCTGTCTGGTCCCTGATTCAGCAGAGCTTCAATTGGATCTGGGAATCTATTTTTTGTTTTTAAGTTTCCAGATAATTCTGCTGCAGAAAGCTGTTTGGTTAAGAATACCTTGGACCACCTACCTTCCTAAGTAGTGCATTTCTCAGTCAAGCTTTTGATGATCAGCTGTAGAGAGCAGACAATGGAAGGACCCCCAGAGATAACCTTCCTGGGCATCCTGACAGCCAGGAGAGTCCCCCTGGTTCTGAGGAAGGCTGTGAGGGGATTTCTCTGCTAAAGATTCCAGAATGCTAAGAATGGGGAATCCCTGAGCATTTGTATTTGACCTCATGCCGGACAATGACTCCTTCACAGTGACTGGCACTGATGTGGAAAAGAAGCTGAGGAAAATCCGAGCGCGGACACAGAAGCATCTAGACTTGTATGCAAGAGATGGTCTTCGGACACTGTGCATCGCCAAGAAGGTGAGAACAGATTCCTCGTGAAGTAGGTGAGGGGCCGCAACCCCAATTGTATCTTTTCTACTTCTTTTTAGAAGACCTTTAATGTGGGTTGCTTTAATGTTTTCAAAATTAGCTTTTTGATTTACCACAAAGACCCAGGACTTTTGACAGTTTTGCTGGGGCAGAAATCTGAATGGCAAGGTTTTATATCAGTGTGGCTATTTGTATATGTAATCAGTTACCCCTAACTCATAAAATAATGTTTAATGTTATAATTTTGTCTTCAGGAAATTCTTTTAAAATCTGCATTATTTGCATAGACTTGGAATTTGGAAGATTTTATGTGGTTACCTTAAAAAAATCTAGATTTCTGGTTTCTCCCAAAAATTTAGAGGAGCTGTCAAAATGAGTCTCCATTCTCCAATAAAAGCAAAGAGCTACAGCCACATAGCAGCTAATCCCTGAGGAGGAATGTATTCTGCTGTGTTGTGCTTGGCCATAGTCCCCACTATTCCCTATTGTTTCCCTTGGCCCAGTTATAGTCATGTAGATTACCTACCTCACCTCCAGCCTCTGCAGGTGAGGGAAACAGAGCAGGGGTATCTAATGGGGCACCTAAAATCAAGGAGGGAGCTAGAATGGACATATATTTCTAGATGGATGGATTTATTTCTCCATAAATTGACAGAGCTCATCTTTTTTATGGTCCTTAGGCAACTATAAAAATTTAAGAGTTTATGAGCACCCACTTTAAAGCCAGACCTACCTGGGTACAAATCTCAATCTCACCACTTATCTGTTGTGTGACATTGGGCAAATTTCTTCATCTCTCAGAGTTTTGGGTTTTCTTAACTATGGAAGGGTGTCAGCACTCCTTACCTCATACAGTTGTCATGGAGATTAGCACATGTACATGGAACATCAACCAGTGTTTACTACTCTATAGCTGTAATTATGCCACCTTCTATTTTCCATTGAAATTATTTGTGCCTATTTTGTCTCCTAATATTCAATAAAACTATGAAATTCAAAAAGAGCAAAAGGCCTATTCATATCCCTTTGGTTGTCCCCATATACCATGCACAGAGAGAGAATCTAGGGATATTCATTGCTGTATTCATGCAATTCCAGCAAGGGGGTCTAAAGTACTATGGGACTCAAAAGGAGGAAGATATGTCTTATAGTTGTATTCTTCCAGCTTTTGGTACCATCTCCAATAGCTGGTGGAGAATTCTATCAGGCTATGCAAGATCTGGTTGCTGCTTACCTTTCCAACCTCATTGCTGGCTCTTCTCTACTTGGCTCTCCATCCTTCAGCCAACTGGTATTTATAAGGAATAAACATAACCAAGGTCATTGCTTTTTCACAGCCTTTGCACTTGCCCCTCCCCGTGACTGAACTCTTCTCATCATTGGCTCTCAACTTGTATGTCACCTTGTCTAAGAGACCTGAAGATTCAAATGAAATAGGCCCTCTTCCCACAGCTATCCCTCTATCCAGTCTCTCTCTCACATGCATATCTACAGATCACGCTCTAATTTCTGAATAGAATTCCTTGAAATGACCTATATTTTAAATTATTTACTTGGACAATGTCTCTCACCCTCCAGTAGCACATAAGCCTAGGCATGCAGGGATCTTGTCTGTCTTCAGTGCTCAGAGAAGGGTGAGAGCTCAACAGATGTTTAGTGATATTGGAACATGAAGATCAGTCCTTCATTGATTCATGCATGCACTCAAGAAAGCAATCATTGAAGAGCAAGCCCCACCTAATTGTGTAGAGAAGCTCAAACAGGCACATGGGAAGGGGTCCACTCAGAGTTGTGAATGGGCCTATTTCTGTCCCGTAGGTCCTAAGTGAAGAGGACTTCCGGCGATGGGCCAGTTTCCGGCGTGAGGCTGAGGCGTCCCTCGACAATCGAGATGAGCTTCTGATGGAGACCGCCCAGCATCTGGAGAATCAATTCACCTTACTGGGTAGCTAAAAATAAGCCCTCGTTAAATGAAAAATAGGAATGCTGCAAGCTGGAAAGGGAGTTCTTGGCCCTGATTCTGACACTGCTACAAATGTGTCTCAATTAGGAGCTTTCCCCGGGGTGCCTTTCAAGAAATTTGGCACAGACTGGGCCATCGTGCAACCCAGATTCCACATGCAGCCTCCTGAGGGTTACGGGGAACATTCCTGCACTTTCTGCTGGATGAAGCCTAGGAGTCTGGTTGCTTCTCCTCTATTTGTTCAAATGTTTGTTGAGCAACTACTATCTACCAAGTAGCAGGCAAAGCATTGGGGCTACAACAGGGAGCAAGAGCCACAGGGACCTGGCCTCCCAGAGTCTAAAGTCTAGTGAGGAAACTGACTAAATAAGTAATTAAACAGTGTTGAGGGCCTGGCTGGAAGATTGACCAGATGGGATGGAAACACAAAATAAAAGGAGCTAACCTGGCCTGAAGCCAAGGTGGGTGCAGGGAGGTTGGACTGAATGGAGGAGTTGGTCAGGCCAAGAGGGAGCGTGTTCCAGGCAAGGGGAAGGGGCCGGCTGGTAACTCAGGTCTTCTATGGCTAGACCATGCAGTGTCAGGGAGAGAGGTCAGCAGGACCCAGATTAGGAAGGGCCATGCATATCACATGCTGAATGTTTGGAGAGGGGACGGGGATGGGAGGGAAAGCAGGGGCAGATCTGTGCTTTCGGCACAGAAGTGAGATTGGTACACTGGGGGGAAGATGAGCGGCTTGGAGGCCCCAGTTAAGAGCCAGCGTTGGATTCCTGGTGAACAAAAAGCATTACTAAGAGAGCCGGAGAGGGTTCATTTATCAGGATTCATCTCGCAGCTCAGAGTCAGATCTAGGAATGGCCTTGCTGGTCCAGCATGCACACAGTGGCCACAGGGCAGCTTTCTTCCACCTCAGAAGGCGAAGCTGACCTGGGCACAAGAGTCAAGGGATGGCTCTATCAGACCTTGCTGTGTGCCCAGGGACACATCCCCACAGCCTCCGAGCCTAGCTTCTCTGGATAAAACCCCACCCCCCACCTCCACCCCCGCTACTCAGCCAGGCCAGGTGCAAGGGGACAGGAAGGCCCAGAGCTGCTGCAGGAAGCCTTTCTATATAAAAGCAGCAGCAGGATTTAGACATAGTAGGTGCTCAACAAACAGAGTACAGCCTTTTGTTTCTGTTTTGTTTGCTGCCTCCAAGGCCTCCTTGAAAGCTGATCATGAGAATTCATTTCAACAAGCACTAGAAGTCTCTAAGCCAGACAGCTCCACCCACTACACAAGGTCACCAGAGGGTCATCCCACGAGGGTGCTCACCCTCCTTGCCTCTGCAGTTCCTTGTTTCCGGAGCACAAGTCCCTGGTTCCACGAGAGAGAACACACTTGTAAGGGCCCGTCGGCCCCTTTTGCTGGGAAAGGCCTTCATGCCTCCCTCTTTCATTTTCTTTCACACACACACACACACACACACACACACACACACACACAAATACAAATGTGTTTTTCCTCCTCTTGCCCTCACTCTGCCTCCCCACAACATCAATCAGCTTCAGAGGCCCACCTTCCAAGCGAACCCTGGGAGGGAAAGCTGAGGCGGGGCCATCACTCTTCCTGGGGTTGTTTACCTGGCTGTTTGGGCCTCACATACAAAACAGGCACATTTCATGACAGCGAGGCTGTTTTTCTCCCCTGGAGGCAGCTGGGGAAGGAGAGGGCTGGGGCCGGGCAGAAAGCTCAACCTGCCACCTAGAAACCGCCCTGCCCTTGGGAAGCTGCCTTGCATTCTCACTCAGCCCCAGAGTAGGGTGATCTTTTCACTATGCATTCAGCGTAGCTGCTTTGCCAACCTATTGTCACCCAGAATCATTGAAAGAAATGAATGCCGTGCTCCTGCCCAGAGTGAAATGGGTCTGCTCTCTGAAATGGATCTCAATGTAAATGCCGGTTTATTTTTTGCTTAACCACCGTTATTCAGTATTTAGGTTGATGCAAAGCTGGAGATGATTCAAAATGTATGGAAGCTGTGTGTTTCATTCTCTCCAAGAAAATGAGCAAGAACCTGGATCTCTGTTAATTCTGCTGGGAGCGGTGGCATAGCCAAGATTTCAGCCTCCTTGTTTCTTTCCGCTCCCACTGCCACTCTGCCGGCAGCTGTCTGCACTCCTGCTCGGCTCCTGACTGTTAGTCCCAAATTACTCATGCTGCTTGCTGAAACTCCAATCCATTCTCTAGAATGATGTTCTTCTAACTCAAAACTAATCCTGCCAACTCTCCAACTTAAGTCCCTTTAATAGCTTTCTTGACTACCAAATGAATTCCAACCTTTTATTTTTAAAATATATATTTTTATTGATTTTTTTTTTTTCAGAGAGGAAGGGAGAGGGATAGATAGCTAGAAACACCAATGAGAGAGAAACATCAATCAGCTGCCTTCTGCATGCCTCCTACTGGGGATGTGCCCACAACCAAGGTATATGCCCTTGACCAGAATCAAACCTGAGATCTTTCAGTCCACAGGCTGATGCTCTATCCACTGAGCCAAACCAGTTTCGGCGTAAATTCCAATCTTTTAATGCCCTGCTCAGCAAAGCCTATCTTCTGGCCTCATTTCTCACCCTACTCTGCCTCCTTTCCTGTGTCTTCTCTTACTCTGACCCCAGGGCCTTGACACATGCTGATCCCTCTGCCTGGAATTCACTTTCTCCTCCTCCTCTTGGCTTTATCTTCCAGGTCTGAGCTTAAAGGACACTTTCTTAGCAAGGCCTTCTATGACCTTCCTGATGAAGTTTGGGTCTCCTGGTTATAGGTTTGCATCCTGGGCTTCTCATATAGCTCAGTTATAAAACCTTATTCAGCAGGCCCAGGAGCTCGGAGGATAGAGGCCAGCTCTGTGTGTTTCACTGCCAGATTCTGGGTGCTTAGCACAGCCTAGAATGTGGAAGATATTTAATAATTACTGCCTGGCTCGAGAGGGCTCCGGGGAAATTAGGCAGCTGCTTTTCCACCCTGTAAGTGTGATCCCCGGCGTCTCTGATCACTCCAGGAGCCACTGGGATTGAAGACCGGCTGCAGGAAGGAGTTCCAGACACAATCGCAGCTCTGCGGGAAGCTGGGATCCAGATCTGGGTCTTGACAGGAGATAAGCAGGAGACAGCGGTCAACATCGCTTACTCCTGCCGACTGCTGGATCAGACCGACACTGTTTACTCCATTAACACCGAAAGTCAGGTGAGGCCAAAGGAGGGCCCAATGTCCAAGTGCAGAGTAGCGCGGGCCAACCGAGGACAGGCTTCGGGGTGGTGCTGGGGTATTTGAGGAAGTCACCCTCCCATCATCTTGCAGCTGGAGGGAATGACACATGAGAGGGCCCTGGAAGACAAGCAGCCCTCTGTCCCCTAACCTCATCCCCACATATGGTGGGCCAGTGTATTTACATTATGTCTAACAGTACATGCTCAAAAGCCCTGCCTCTCCTGAATTCTACCCTTGGCCCAGCCTCTTCATGCTACAGATGGATAAACTTAAGATCACTGAGGCTGTCACCTGCTCAGGGTCACCCTGTGGTTCTGACAGAGTAAGTCAAGAATGCTGCTCTCTGCAGGCCAGTGTGGACTGCATGACACCATGCCGTTCGCTCTCAGAACCTCAGCAGTTTGTTATACGTTGGATGAAGCATCCATTGAAAAAAGCCTCGATTAAATTGAAATTATTTTGAGTTTACAATGTCAGCTCCAATCTGTAAGTCACTTTGGTTTGCCACAGAATACATCCTGGAGGGAATGACACATGAGATCAGTCCATTTTGATGGGTTTGGAGACAAAGAGAAGCACAGTTCTAAAACTGTGACTTTTTTTTTTTAACCCAATCAGGTTATGGGTGGTCTAGAGGCAGGTTTGGAGAGAGGGCTGTGCACAGTCTGAAGAAGAATATTCAAAGTTGCAACGCGATTTTATATTTAAGAGGAAGTCTACTTTCACAAAGCGAACTGCAGAAAGTGAACTTCCACTGTCTTGCTGGGAATGTGAAAAGTGGGCGCTGTCTTGTATGCTCCTATTAGAAGGAGGCAGGGATGGCATTGGATGTGGGTGTTGACAGGAAAGCACTATGTTGCAGGGGCTGTGAGTGGAGGGGACCTGGAGACCTTAGCATCTCATGGGGAGAAGGGTGGAGCAGAGGGAGGAAGATGGGAAAGAAATACCACAAGGGAAAAAGCAGGAGGATTTCCATTGTTGCCTGAAGCTGATCAGGATCCAGAAAGTTTGTGAGGTTCAAATTTGGCATTTACAATATTTCATGAAGAATCCACATAGGCACCTTTTTAAAGGATAGTGTATACTATGGAAAGTGCCTCAGGCCCTTTAGATGAGTTGGAAACCCCATTTACTTTCTTGTCAGGTGCACAGAGGATGCTATGATTAGATGAAACCCCAAAGAATTTTCTAAATGAAAATAATCTCTGGGAAATATCTGGCATTATGATGCTTAGGAGAGAAAGTAATTTGCAGCTTGCTTGAGTGCTTGATCCCCGTAAGAGTGTCAATGTCACCCTGCTCTGCTGACAATGGAAATGTTGTTCGAAAAGATGGTTTCACTCAAGGTGATTCCAAAAGGACTTCGCAACACAGCAAACCTGTGAGCCAGCCTGTGTGTGTTGGGGATTGAGGGGGCGGCTTCTGTGGGTTCTGTTAAATGCAGTGCATTTCTGCAGGAAGCAGGTGTTTGCTGATTAATTAGCCAAAGGAACAGTGGGCCACACTCCATGTTTTCAGTCCCTATCAACTTTTAAAGTCTGGGATCTTCCATGATGGTGCCCGATGGTTAGTTTCTCCCCACACCCCTGGGCGTGCTAAGCCTATGAGTCTTTCTCATTTCTTGTCTGAGGAAAAGGAGTGGATGCCTGGATTTGTCAAGAGAGACCCTGGGGAAATCCATTCTAAATCTCAGATTTATTTCAACCCCCGTTTAATGTAATTACATATTCAGTAGATATTTTTCTCCAAGGCTTTTTATCTGCCTAATTCATTATAAATTGATTTAGAGCTACTGTTTCTTTGTTATGCATCTTAAAGCCATAAGCAAGTTAGGGGACCTATGTAGACCTCAGGGTTCTCAGCCATAAGATGAGAGAATTAATAACCCATCACTGGAAGTGTTGATCTGTTAAGGGATCTTAGGAGGAACTATAGTATTAAATAGAAACTAATAATAGCAGCTATTATTGTTATTATTAACAACATATTTGAAAGCTTAATATTGTCCAGATACCATAACTCTGAACTTAATTTAGAAAAGATTCATTTCAGAGGCTATTTGGGGTGATTAAATAAGATCATAGGAGGAAGATATTTATGAGCATAGGACTTGTATTTGTTGACAAATTATGTCAAAACTTAGCCACTAAAAGCAGAGAAACATTTATTATGGCAAGGTTTCAGTGGGTTAGGAGTCCAGGAGTGGCCTGGCTGGGTATGTACCTCTGGTTCAAGGTCTCTCTTGAGGTTTCAGTCAAGCTGTCAGCCAGGGTAGTGTGTTCAGCTAGATGCTCAATGGGATGGGTTGTTTGGGAATGGAGAGAAGTCCTTCTTCCAAGCTCATGGACATGATTATTAGCAGGCCTCGTCCTTGCTGTGTGGGCATCTCCACAGGGTGCTCTGCAGCCTGACCGATGGTTTTCCCCAGGCGAGCCATCCAAGAGAAAGAATGTGGCATTGGTAGCCAGTCTTTGTAAACTAATCTGAAAGTGGCATCCCATCACTTTTGCAGAATTGTCTTCATTAGAAAGGAGTCACTTAGTCCTAGCCCTCACAAGATTGTACAGGGGCATGAATCCTGGGGTATGGAGAGCACTGAGAACCAGCTAAAGGCTGCCTACCACAGTATCTGACATACCAAATGTTGAATGAGCAGTAACTAATGGGATTATTATATAGAAAATTCAAATTTTGGGGAGTTTTAGTTAGAAGCTTACATTCCCAATGACTTGCAGGGGTCCTATGGTGGAGGAATTTTTAAAATGTATGCTAATCCCAACTTCCAGCAAGGACTATCTTGATCTCTTTCCCAAGTAAGTATTTCAGGTATAACCAGAGGCTGCTTGAACTACTTCCTGTGGCGCTTTAGGGTTTATGCACACTGACTGCCTCTTTAGTGTTTCCTAAAGGAAGGCTCAGGAATAATAAACTGCAGTCCTACTGCCTCCAGAAGAAATTGTAACATTTTCGGAAGCTTCTAGAAGATCAATGGTTCTCAAACCTGTCATTTTGGAACAACTTCCACAATTTTTTTTTAAATCCACGTATTGCCTGTACTGTTTTTTATTTAATGAGTTCATTTACAATGACTCACTTTGGGCATTTTAAAATTCATTTTTGGCACAGCAGTAAATGAGTAATACTGCTAAGTAAAGACAGCACAATACTATTAAAATCGATAATACAGTTGACTGCCACAGTTTTTCTCTAGCTTTATTTTAAAATGATGTTTACAGAACATAAAGAGGATGAAGAATATATTTAGAACCAAAATCTGACATAACCAAAAGGAATGGAGGAGAATTGATAAGAGGAAATAAACTTCTTCACTATGTTTCAAGGTAAACTTAGAGCAGAAAAAAAAATGTTTCTTTAAACCAATAAGCTCTTTCACATCCATGTACAATGACCAACACATTCACACCAACAGATAAACACAGTTCATGTATTTTTTCAATTAAGAGGCCACAATTTGAGTAGTATCGGTCTGCCTCCACTACTAAGTTGGATGACCTTGAACAAGTTACTAAAAATTTCAGTTTCTATTTCTTCATCTCTAAACTAACATTGATTTTAAAAAAATAAATAACCCTACCTACACACAGGACTATTCTGAGGAACAAAGGAGAGCTAAAATGACACACAGAAAACATTCTAGCACATACTGTCCTATTTACCATCACACTAGAATTATTTCATATCTCATACCTTCCCTCCATTTCAGTCCCCATCTTGCTGAGCTATTGCCATGCCCATTCCCAAGCCGTATCTCCTATTTTGGCCATTAGTTTTGATTCCAAATTAATATAGCTTTGATGTTGTTTGAAATTTTATTGCAGAGAAATATAAAAATCAGAGAATGATTCCTAGGTAAGTGATCTCTATGGTGGTAGAGTTTGGTAACTATTTTATTGAAGGATAAAGTGAGATTCTAAACCTACATTTCCAATGTTGCTTATTAACACCAAATATATTATTCCGACTCTTTGCAGGAAACTTGTGAATCCATCCTCAGCTGTGCCCTGGAAGAAGTGAAGCAATTTCATGGGCCACGGAAGCCAGAGCGCAAGCTCTTTGGGTTCTTCCTACCTTCTGAGACACCTCCCCCTGCCTCGGGAGCCACAGGGCCAGAAGTTGGACTGGTTATTGATGGGAAGACACTGAATGCCATTTTCCAGGGAAAGCTGGAGAACAAGTTTCTAGAGTTGACCCAGTACTGCCGGTCTGTCCTGTGCTGCCGCTCCACACCGCTGCAGAAGAGCATGATCGTCAAGTTGGTGCGAGACAAGTTGAGCGTCATGACCCTTTCCATAGGTATCCATCATGCTGAGATGTGGGTGGCAGTGTTATAGGGCTAATCTGATGAGAGGCCTGGACCAGACTGGGGAAGGGAGGATTGTCAGGTATCAAAGTCAAGATGCTTAGGCTGAAGGTCATTGTCTTAAGGGAGAGAGGTCAAAGTGACAAATGTGGCAGCCAGGAGATGAAGCCGAGTCAGAGAGTAAAAAAAGTTCTCAGGCTGAAACCGGTTTGGCTCAGTGGATAGAGCGTCAGCCTGTGGACTGGAGGGTCTCAGGTTCAATTCCAGTCAGGGGCATGTACCTTGGTTGCAGGCATATCCCCAGTGGGGGGCATGCAAGAGGCAGCTGATCGATGACTCTCTCTCACTGATGTTTCTAACTCTCTATCTCTCTCCCTATCTCTCTGTAAAAAAATCAATAAAATAATTTTTTTAAAGTTCTCAGGATTAGAAAGTCAACTACAGAAAAATTAGGACTTGGATGGAGGCCAAAGCCAAGAGGGGCCTCAAATCCAGGTAGCTCATCTACCTGGCCAACTCAATTCTGGGATGTAAACCATTTCCCCCTTCAATATTTAACATGTGGCACAGTGCTATAAACCTCAGGTGTTTGTGGATTTGACATTCAGTTGAGTGTTGATGGCCAGTGGGGAGATTTAAAAATTGGGCCTGTCCCATATTTAATTTTGTATGTTTATTCCTAAATACAAGACCCAGCACAAAGCATATACTCAATTAAATGCTGGCTTGTTTGATGAAGAATTCCTCATAGGAGACTAAACTTTAATCAAGGTTGAGGTAGAGAAATAAAGCTTGGTTCCAGGTTCTCTTCTTCTTACACAGTCATGGGAAGAGATTGTTCTTCCTGGCATTCCAAAGAAGAAGCCTATTATATGTTGTTTTTTCTTCTGGTATTCAGGTAAAAACAACGTCTGCCCCCCCCCCCCTTCCCCTTGAAAAAAAACAAAGAAGAAGAAGAAGAAGTGGGCAGAAAGAATCAGGGAGCATAGTTTTAGCCACTGCATTCTAATTTTATTCCCCTGAATTGTCCTCTTCAAAACTTCAGACACAAACAAGGCAATCGCCTGAGACTGATTCCCTGAAGTATAAGGTTGGCTTCATTCCCATAGCAACAGAGACAACACCAGCAGGGTGAGAAAGAGCATGATTATACACCTCCACTCCCTCTGGTTTGCTACCAGAAGAGATGAAAGGGTGAATTTGTTCTGCTATGGGGGAAGATTAAAATTATGTGCTTCTCTGCTATTAAGGGGGGGGAAATCATAAGAATAATGGCTACTTATAATGACAAAATACATTTTTTTGCCCTATAATTAGGAGAAGAAAATTCTCTCCCCCAATGACATTTTTTCTATGATGTCTAATTGAGATTTAATTGCAGATTATGAGAACCTACTGGAAAAAGAGGTGAGGTCAGGAGGTGAAGGCAATATAGTGTACAAAGCACAGCCCACCGGCTGAATCCAAACCACTGCATACTTTTATATAGGGATGCTGAGAAGGGTTTTTATTTTTCTAAATGTAACAACAGTTGTTTAATTTTAAATCTTGGATGACAAAGCCTAAAATATTTACTATCTGGCCCTTTACAGAAAAAGTTTGCTAAACTCTCCTGTAATAGATAAAGCATTAGAAAGAGGATTATAAGCTATACAACTCACTGTGTGGAGTTGTGCTGTCTAACACAGTTGCCCCCTAGCTATCTGTGGCTATTTACGTTTAAAATTAAAAAGAATTTCACGAGCCACATTTCAATAATCCCATGTGGGAAGTGGTTTCCTTGTTGGACAGTAAAGATATATAACATTTCCATCATTACAGAAAAATCTATTTGGTAGTACAGGCCCTTACACCTTCCAGTTTCCTGAATTTTCATTGAATGAGAACTCAATGTGACTAAATGTACCTCAACCAAAAAAGTAGTCAATCTCATTTGTCTATATTCAAAAACAAAACAAAATGCTGTCCCGGTCCTTGAATACCACTGACAATCGGATGACTTAGTTGTCCAAACATACCAGTTGTCTTAATATGACCAGTATTTCATGTGATACTGAATTCGGGAAGGTATACCAGCTTTGGAATTCGAAAGATCTCAATTTTCCTGAGTGTCTTCACTAGCACTTGCCTTGGATTACTCTTGCCAGGTCCCTATGTTGCTCAAATTCTCCATTTGCTCCTCAGTAAAGTCCACTGTAACATTTGTGAAGGCTGTTTGTGTAAACTATAAGCACAGTTCAAGTCCCACTTACTCCCCATTGTATTCCTAATAGCTAATATTGTGCCTAGAAAAAGGACACAAATATTTGTTGAATGATAAAAAGTAGGGCTTCTTGTTCAAAGAAGAAAAGAGACCTCTCAGGCCAAACACCATAGCAATGGACTTTTCCTGTAAAACTAGAGAAATGTTAAAAGGATTCGATTAAGTACAAATGGGACACTTTAGAGCTACTGTATAAAAACCCTCCTGTGTCCCACAGCAGTTGGACCGGAAATAACGATGCCTCATGACCTCTCTTCTTTCAGGTGATGGAGCAAATGACGTAAGCATGATTCAAGCTGCTGACATTGGGATTGGAATATCTGGACAGGAAGGCATGCAGGTACTGTTCCCATTAACTGTTCTTGTTTCTTCCTTGATCACTATTGGAGAGTTAGGGGTATTCTTCACAGTTGGGTGAACTGCTCCCTGAGAATTTTGCAGAATAATCATTTGAAAGTCAGGAGGCGTCTGTGTGACAAGCCTCCATCACCAGCTCCCTCCTGCCCAGTCCTTCAGAACACAAAGGAGATCAAAGGATGCTTGGCTTTTTAAAAACAACTGGTGATACCTATGTTCTAAAGCCAAATAGTACTCAGCCATTCAGGGAAGCATTAACACCAAAACCTAATGTTTTCCCTTAAGTCCATCTGCCCATATGCACAGGCCCAAAGAAATGTACCAGCAGGAGTTTGCAGTACAGAAAGTATAATACTGAATTGGCCGGAGTCAGGGAACTAACATGAAAGCCCGACTCCCAAAAGGTATATAGGTTACAGATTTTTCAGGGAAAAAATCACAAGACATCATGATTTAGGGGTCCAGCTGGAAGTGGATTGTCAGAGGTGAAGCAAGGGTGATGAATCGATTCTTCAGGTTTTGAGGACAGCTCTGAGGTCTTGTCCAATCCTCTGTCCTGTCTCCTGGAAAAGGAGCTAAGGGGTCCTTCCACCTTAGGGCTCAGGAACTGAAACATAAATAGGTCAAGATGTTATCATTAGTCTTCCATGTTTGTCAGGTCTGGGGTACTGTCTTCCGTTGCTTTTGGAGTTGCTGAATCTCTGGAGGAGAGGCTGGAGAGATAGGGGAGAGGGAGAGGTTTCTAGAGTTAGATTTTAAAGTTAAATTTATCAGTCATAAGGAATCTGTTTCAGAAGCCTAAGCCTTCCTCTGACTGCATGCTTCCTCCCGATTCATTCCAGGATTTATAACTAAGCTTGTTCAAACCTCAGAGTCTTAAGAGTCCTAGGAACTGTGTCTTGTTCTGAGTGACTCCAAGGGCAGAAGATACATGCCATCTGAGCATGGAGCAAATGGCCTGCCTCAGGAGGTGGCCAGGGGGGTGAGGATTACTTATCTGGAAGCCCATACTCTCTGGGTAACCATCAAACCCCTAGCCTGGTTCCCGAAACACACTGGGACATAATAAATGCTTGTTGGATAAATAGGAGACAACCAAACTAGACTTCTGGCCCTTTCTCTCCTTCCCTTTTCAGATTCTAGTGAGAAAGAGCCTCCCAAGGGCACCACATGAGGGCAAAAAGCCTTTCAGAGTCTACTAGCTATGGCTCTAGAATAGGGGTGTCGAACTCAATCAGAGAAGGGGCCAAAATCTAAAATCCAGCCTAAATCGCGGGCCGAATGGTTTACTGAACAGTCATAAACTGTCATTGTGATAGAAACGCAGCGGAGTGCAGTGATGACAGTGTGGTGTGGGCCACATTGCAAGGCCTGGCGGGACGGATTTGGCCCGAGGGCCTTGTGTTTGACACATGTGCCCTAGAACAAAGTCTTGCCCTCGGGGAGCCTCTTGGTGTACTGGCAGCAATGATAGACACGCTGTCTCTATTCTGCCCTCGCAGGCAGTCATGTCCAGCGACTTCGCCATCTCCCGCTTCAGACACCTCAAGAAGCTGCTGCTGGTGCATGGCCACTGGTGTTACTCGCGGCTGGCCAGGATGGTGGTGTACTACTTCTACAAGAACCTGGTGAGTGGCCCCCGGCAGCCTCCACCCCGGCCTGGGGAGTCTTTGCTGGGGACCAGCTGTCCCCACACTAGACAAAGCATCTCAGCAGGAGGGGAGGAGTCAGGCTCACCTGGATTTTGAATCCTGAAACAGTCCTTTACTAGCTCTGTGACCTTGGGCAAGACAATGCCCTTCTCTGGGCCTCAGTTTTGCCTTTGACACTATGGGTTAAAGCCCCTGATACCTAGGAGGCAGCTTGAGTAGTTACAAACATGTCCGGAGTCAGACATAATTGGCTCAAATCTAGGCTCCTGTATTTGGCAATGGTCCTACACCTTAGTTTTTCCATCTATAAAAAGGGGCTGATAAAAGTACCTTTCTCATATATTTGCTCAGAAGATTAAACGAGAGTTTGTGTATAAAATAATTGGCATATAGTAATTACCCGGTAGAAATAGCCATTGTTTTTTATCATTGTTGATACTGCTGTTACTCTCAGACAGGCTCCATAAAAGATTTATTTCCTGACTGCAAGGAAGAAAAGGATTTGAAGAACAATTAGTATGGCTTTTCTCTTAGATTTCTTTCCCAGATAGAGCCACTCTAATACAAGAGCCAAGGTAAGGGTTTAAGATGAGTCTATGACTTCCACCTGACCAAAATGTCACTTCCCAACAGGGAGGTTCACAGAGGTCAAGACACTAAATAAATAAATAAAATGTTTAAACTAGGGCAGTCATCTGGTTTCTGTCTTGCCTGATCCAGCATGCTGTGTGAATGTAGAAGAGTCACTTAACCTCTCTGAGCCTAAATTTCCTCACCAATAACATAGGAAGACTATCACCCTCTTATGAGTCTTACCAAGTGGCTTTGGTGTCAGAGCTCTGAAATGCATGTAGCACTTTACAAATACAAGAATTTGTTTCTCCTGAGTGCGCAGGCGCACGCGGAGCGGTGCGGAGGGAGGGAGGGAGTCCCGGCGGCCATAGCGGCAGGTGTTCCAGGGCCTGGCGGTGGCCGGTGGGGGCGAGAGTAGCGACAGCGAGGACGACGGCTGGGAAATTGGGTATCGCGACCGGGCACCTCAGAAATTAAAAGGACCAGTTCCCACTGAAGACAAGAACGAAACATTTAAGAGAGCATTGACCACAGGAGATATTTCATTGGTCCAAGAGCTCCTAAAGTCTGGCATTAGTGTAGATTCTAGCTTTCAGTATGGATGGACTCCCCTTATGTATGCTGCTAGTGTTTCCAATGTAGAGCTGGTTCGGGTCCTTTTGGACAGAGGCGCTAATGCAAGCTTTGATAAGGATAAGCAAACTATTTTGATAACCGCCATGTTCTGCTCGTGGCTCAGAGGAACAGATCTTGAAGTGTGTAGAACTGCTACTTTCAAGAAACGCTGACCCAAATGTTGCTTGTAGGAGACTTATGACTCCAATCATGTATGCTGCCCGAGACGGTCACCCTCAGGTTGTTGCTCTCCTTGTTGCCCATGTAGCAGAAGTTAATACCCAGGATGAAAATGGTTATACTGCTTTAACATGGGCAGCACGTCAGGGTCATAAAAATGTAGTTTTGAAGTTGCTTGAACTTGGAGCAAATAAAATGCTGCAAACCAAACATGGAAATACGCCAAGCGAGATTGCAAAAAGAAATAAACATCTAGAGATCTTCAGCTTTCTTTCTTTGACTTTAAATCCATTGAAAGGAAAGCTTCAACATCTAACTAAAGAAGAGACTATTTGTAAACTATTGACAACGGATTCTGATAAAGAAAAAGATAGCATATTTAAGAAAGGGATATAACTTTAAGATATCTTTTGACCATGAGGAAAGATGAGTTTACAAAGAATGGAATTACCAGTAGAGATCAACAGAAAATTCTGGCTGCTCTTAAAGAACTAGAAGTAGAAGACATAAAATTTGGAGAATTACCTGAAATAGCAAAGTTGGAAATCATTGGTGATGAATTCCTCAACTTTCTTCTGAAATTAAACAATGTGGCAATTTAATAACAGCTGTACAGAATATCATTACTGAGTTGCCTGTAAATTCTCACAAGATAGTACTTGAATGGGCTTCTCCTCGGAATTTTACTTCAGTTTGTGAAGAACTATTGATAGTTAGCAATGTTGAAGATTTGAGTGAAGAAGTCTGCAAACTAAAAGACTTAATTCAGAAGTTGCAAAACGAAAGAGAAAATGATCCAACTCATATACCATTAACAGAAGAGGAATCTACATGGAATAATAGAATTTTGAAGAGGACGGCTATTACAGTATGCGGATTTGGATTTCTTCTTTTCATTTGCAAACTAATTTTCCAAAGAAAATAATTCTAATATTTATTTTGAGTATTGTGTGTACATTTTATTTAAATAACCTTAAATGTTACTTTTAACCATTTGTGGCTCAATAAAACTATATTCTTTATCAATATTCCACAGGAAAAAATATGATAGCATTGAGCAGGGGGTTTTTCTTTAGAAAGTGGTTTGTCACTTTGACTTAAAATGTAATTTGTTATATTTTATAATAATTTTGATCAAGCAGTAAGTTATGTTTCTTAAGTTTGACCCTATAACTCTAAATCACATTCAAAATGAAAGTTTCATCTGAAAAAAAAAAAATTTTGTTTCTCCTAAAAAAAATATGTTCATGTCTGTCTGATAAAGGTCCAAAGCAGGCAAACACCAGCTGAGGTATTAAAACTACCGGAGGCCCTTGTTTGGAAAGCCCTGGATTAACAAGGAGTATAGGAAGAAATCAGCATTGCTGTGCTAAGGGATTGAGCCTGAGTTTTTCATTATTTAGTTCAAGGACCTTTGACTAATCCCCAAGAGTGTCCAAATAGATTCCACTCCTGTTTGCATAAGGAAAGAAGGAGGACTGAGACCAGAAGAGGGAGGAAGAGAAAAACATTAGCCAAGTAGATGCCTCAAAATTGCATTTTCCCCCTCTTGCTCCATCCCCCAGGCCTGTTTGTGAGCACTCTCACAGTTACCTTTCCTCAGGAGTGAGCACTTTTGTGCAGAGTTCAATATATAAACCGAATGGCAAATATATATATATATATATATATATATATATATATATATATATATATATATATTTGATAAGCTGGATGATACTATTTCAGCAAGTTTATGCAAAGTCACTCAATTTGACTTGAACCCACTTGGTGCCTGAAAGACTGTTTAGTTAGAATTCAGCATACCCCTGTTTAATTTTTTTCCTCTTGGCCTCTAAGGGAATAGTTCTTCTGAATGAGTCCAATCTCTTCTCTGCATTAAATTTGTGAAATAGAAAAGGCCACCTTGCCAGCCAGCCATGCTTTCAAAACTTAAATATTTATTTCCAGCCCGATGCCTCACTCACAAACGGAGATACTGACGCACATTATCTCCCTTTGCAATTAGAGGGTGGAGAACTATGAGTTCCACATCCGAAACCAATTTCAGAGGGGATTAAAACCTGGCCTGTCCTGCAATGTGAATAATGAATTAATTACCTCACCATGGCTTCTGGGGAGGAAAGACAGGCACCCAATCTGGCAATGCCATCATTGGGTGCAATGCACTTTCTCCAAGGTGCCAAGACTCCCTACAGAGGAAGTGGAGAAAAGCAAGGTATTCCCAGGGCCTCAGAGGAAGAAAACCCTCTTTAATGTTAAAACTCCAGCATAAGTGTTAGGAGAAAAGAACAACTAAGATAAGCAAATAATTATTGAACACCTACTGTGTAGGAAACATCAGGCCCTGGGTATAGAGACAGACATATCTACACCCAGTGCCTGATATAGATGCCTACAGTCTAAATCAGGGCTCAGCAAACTCGCCCTGCAAAGGGCTACATAGCCACATAATATTTTCAGCTTTGTGGGCCATCCAGCCTCTGTCACAACTACTCAACTCCTCTGTGGTCCCATGAAAGCAGTTATGGACACTGCAAATGAATTGAGGTGGCTGTTGATCGGTTTATCATCTCCTGGCCTCAGTAATCATTCCTTCTCAAGATATCCTTTGGGAACCAACATTAGCATTACCTAGACACTTTTAGAAATACAGATCCTCCGGCCCCAAACCTGTTAACTCAATCTGCATTTTAAATACAATCCCAATATGAATCCTACAAACCTTAAAGATGGATAAGCACTAGTATAGGGGGAAGAAACTTAAATTTAAAAAGATCTGACTGGCGGAAGGTCTATGGGCACATCTGTAGGAAACAAGGAAGCCAAGGCCCAGAGAGGTTTAGTGGCTCTCCCACATTCACACAGCCTGCTGGAGTTGAGCAAGATTAAAAGCCAGATGACCCCTCCTCTAAACATGTTTGTCAATAGGTATTTTATTTAGTGTCCGGACCTCTGAAATCCCTGTTGAGAAGTGACATGTAGGGTCAGGTGGAAACCAGGAAGCATAATCCAAAAATGGCTGAGATGGCTTAAGAGTGGTTGATGAGAAAGAATTTTCAAAACTCAGGTGCTGGTTGTAGCACTTTCAAGCTCTGAATTTGGACAAGGCATATCTGATTATCTTAGGGCCTCTAATTCCTAATCTGTAGAGTGGGGCTAGGAATATTAACATATTAATATAATAATGCATAAATATGATAGAATTATATTACTAGCAATGATATTAATCCTGCCAGATTGTTGGAACAAAGTATAATGTATATCACATCTAATAATGTACAATGTACTATGTCACACAAATAGAAGGTCAAATAACAATTGTGTTACTAATAATAGTATTCACATGTTTATATTATTACCACAATAATACATAGCTAGCATCTTCAAAATAGCCCTGGTGCACAGTCAGGGAATGAGAATTCAAACCCGCTGAGTGATTTCTCACAAAACCCTTCGCCACTCTGGGCCTGAGCCACACACAGCAGAGAAGGCCTAGTCCTAACTCCAGGGCCAGCTGCTTACTTAACATGACCTTGCTCAGGTCGCCAAACCATGTCACAACCCGGATCACTATTCTCAAGCAGTCATAGCCCAAGCCAGGTGGGAGGACTTGAGTGAGAGAGCTTCAGAAAGCCTCAGTGAAGCAGATTTCCTTTTTCACCCTTCTCAGCTGCATAACCATTAGCAAAGTGTGAGAGAGGAACCTTCTCATGCAATCCTCTTCCTGCCTCAGTCCAGTCTTTACAACATGCCTTCCTCAGGGCCACCTCTTTATCTTCCCACCCTACTACTGACTGCTGCTTCTCAGAACCGTGGGCCATGGTCTAGGTACTACAACTGCTACCCCCATCGGAAAGGTGGCAAGGTAATGTTCAGAAAGGTTGAGCAACTTGCCCAAGGTCACACAGCTAGTAAATGACAGGACTGGGGGGTTCAAAACCCTCTCTGTCTCCAAAACCTGTGTTCTTAGCCATCAAACTACACTTGCCTTAACAAGGTGAATTGTAGTTTGCAGGAGTAATAGTTAGCAGCAGTAGGTAGTGATAATAGAGTCATGAATCGTTGCTCTAAGGTAGGGGTGTCGAACTCAATCAGAGAAGGGGCCAAAATCTAAAATCCAGCCTAAATCGCGGACCGAATGGTTTACTGAACAGTCATAAACTGTCATTGTAATGGAAACACAGCGGAGTGCAGTGATGACAGCGCGGTGCGGGCCACATTGCAAGGCCTGGCGGGACGGATTTGGCCCGCGGGCCTTGTGTTTGACACATGTGCTCTAAGGATTTGAGTATCTCCAGTCCTTCCCTGACCTGCATGTCACGCATGAGACATGCTTCCTGTCAGGTGGTGACCTGTCAGAGGCCCCAAGCAGCAGCCAAGAACAGCTGCCAGCGGGTCATCACTCACAAGGCCACACTGTCTGCCTGCAGTGCTACGTCAACCTGCTCTTCTGGTACCAGTTCTTCTGCGGTTTCTCGGGCTCCACCATGATTGACTACTGGCAGATGATCTTCTTCAATCTCTTCTTCACCTCACTGCCTCCTCTCGTCTTCGGGATCCTTGATAAAGACATCTCCGCAGAGACACTCCTGGCATTGCCCAAGCTGTACAGGAGCGGCCAGGACTCTGAGGTAAGGGGCTTGGCTTCTCTCTGGTGCTGTCAGGACATGACCCCTGGGCTGGGGGTCAGGAGCCCCACATTCAGTCGCCACTCTGCCCTTCACCTCCCACATGACCTTGCACTTGCTGTCAGGGTGACTGAGGAACAAAACCAGTAAGTATGTTGTTTTTAGTGATTTCTTAGTTATATCATCCATTATGGGACCCCCTGAGTTGAAGAGGGAGAGAGCATGCAGAAAGATCCCCCTGAGCCAGCGCCCCCTCCAGGCCTTCAACAGAACCCCTGGGAGTAAAAGCCAGTTTGCTCATCAGTGGGTGAGGCGAGGACTTCCACCACAGGTCAGGAAAGGCAAAACTACAATGACATGTGGCCTAGAACTTGCGGGTATGACATAGACTAAAGAGGGCCTCGGGTGCCATCAGAATGGTTTCTTAAAAGACACAGGGCAGCCACAGTGGCACCTGACTGATTTGGAGAGGTCAGACGGGGTCAGGAGGTACGATGCAGGAGGAGCTCTGGGAAGAGGGTCATTGAAATGCCTGAGGGCACCTTTGCTCCTGGGAAAGGTGGGTGCCTGGGGGGGGGTGGGGTTTGATACATTGTGGGCAGCCAGCAAAGAGGCAAGTGCAGTCCTAACCCGAAGACAGGAGAGCACAGCAGCCCTCCACCACAGGCGAGGCGGACAACCGACGGCGCAGGTGCATCCTAGGCTTTCTACCTGCCCCCTCCCCACAGGGACCGGGCAGGATGATGTATTCCATGAGCACCTAACATTCAAAGTTAGTGTTGTAAAAGCATGGACTGTAATATATATGTATACATACTAAAGGCCCGGTATACAAAATTTGTGCATTGGGGCGGGAGGGGGGGGCGTCCCCCTCAGCCCAGCCTGCCCTTTTGCCCTTCACCTCCCACATGACCTAGCATTAGCTAACTATTACTCCAGCTAACTACAATTCACCTTCTCACAGTCCATGACATACATACATATATATACACACATAACTACACACACACACATATTCCCCAAAAAAAATGTATACCCTTTGACTGCCATTATTAATTCCAATGGGTTATATCTGAAAAGGAGCATTGATTGAGCTATCAGCTGTTAAAGAATGTATACATGTTTTGGAATACCCTGTATAGGTATATACAATCAGCATAGGGGTACATATTTCTTTTCAAGTTAATGTTTTGTTTTCTTCAAATAATATCCAGAAGTGGAATTTCTAGATCATGTGACAGTTTCATTTTTTCACTTTTTGAGGAACCTCCATACTCTTTCCCACAGTGGCTGCACCAAGGTGCTTTCCCAACAACAGTGTCTGGAGCCCCCTTTCCTCCACGTGCTCACCACAGCTCGTTGTTTGTGGACTCACTGAGGAGAGCCATGCTGGTGATAGTAACTGCTCATTTATTCTTTATTGGCAGTGCTATAACCCGTTGACTTTCTGGATTTCCATGATGGATGCGTTCTACCAGAGCCTCGTCTGTTTCTTTATCCCTTACCTGGTAAGTCATATCGTTCCATTCTAGCCATACAAATCGCAGGGTGACTCTGGTCCTGTTTATAGAAAATCCTAGCTTAGTAGTGTCTTTCTGGACACTTCAGAGCAGAAGCTCAAAAGAGGTGGTCTGCAGACCACTCCAACCTATGGTTTTTGACAAGTCAGAAAGCTTTGCCTACACATTTTACTTCCTGCCAGGTTTTGGAAAGCTGAAAGCTATCATTAAATGGAATCGTTTTTCCCTCATGAAGTCTAGAGTCGACTCATAGCCCTGCTTAGATGGGTCCATATTCTCATTTGCTGTAGTCCCCACCACTCCCTTTTGTTTTATCCCAGGCTTTTTTCAGTCATTTACTGTTCCTTTTTGAGCACTAAACGTATTTGAATTTACAACCCTTCATTTAGAAATGATTTGTGCTTCAAGCATTAATGCAGCAAGTTGTGATAGTGAAGAATACTACATTACCTGAAATAAAAGCAGGAATACGTACAGCAAGGATACCAGCCCCATCTCAATCTGGTTCCTCAGTGTAGTGTGAGAATTTAGATCAAGAAGGATATCTATTTCTCCTGGACAGGGAACCATAATGTGGGTTCATATCCTTTTGCAATTAGCAACAGGAGGGTCGATAAAGTAGGCATTTTATGCTTTCTTTAATTTCCTAGCTGACAATACCCTCCCTGGTCAGACCTCTGCTAGTCTTTCCTGCTGAATCATTTCCTCCTATTTTAAACTCTACACAGCCACCATCTAGGACTATCTGAAGTTCCACAGCCCACCACATCCACCCTCAGTTCTGGCCTTTGGCTGGACTGCCTTCCCTCCCCTCAAGAAATTAACTCCTTCTTACAGTCTCAGCTGATAGAGATCCCCTTCTGTACTCCCAGGGTGCATTGTACTTGCCTCCACTGTAACATTTACTCTGGCAAGTAGGCTGTAAACTCCGTGAAGGTGGACACAAAAGTAACTTCAGCAATTGGCATCATGCCTAGTAGATGATCAGTAAATCATTCCATTCACCTTAAATATCTTGGAATGCCCATCCTGGCTTCCTGGTTTGCCCTGTCAACTCGGTCCTCATCTTGTCTGTTCTGTGGGTCAGTTCCAAACAGATGGCAGCTGGATCATTGCTCCCCATTCATCCTCTAAACCTTGACAGATGCTTTAGAATCACTGTCAAAGCCAAGGCTAAAAAAGCCTTGGATAAAAAAGCTGCAGTGCATTTATACCATGGAATTCTATGCAGCAGTAAAAAAGAATCTCTCTTAACATGATACTCTCCAGGTCCCTCCATGCTCTCTCAAAGGTTAAGCGAAATAAGTCAGTCAGAGAAAGACAAGTATCACATGATCACACTCATAAGTAACAAAATAAACTGATGAACAGAGTGAATCCAGAGACATGGAAGCATGGAACAGAGTGTGGAATCTAGGAGGGAAGGGTAGGAGGTAATCAACCAAAAACCTTGTATGCATATATGTGTAACCCATGGACACACAATAGGGTGCTGAAGGCAGGGAAGAGGGAAGGGGACATATGTTAATACTTTCAAAAAAAATTTTTTAAAAGCCAAGGCCTTGAGTCCACAGGCACATCTGAGAATACCTATTTGTTCCTCCCCTGCAGACCTACAAGGACTCTGACATCGACGTCTTCACCTTTGGGACACCCATCAACACCATCTCCCTCACCACAATCCTCTTGCACCAGGCGATGGAAATGAAGACCTGGGTAAGTGCCTGTTTGGCTTAAAATCTGTGTTCCTGATCATTGACCACATTCAACTTTCTGAGTTGTTGTACTTTATATCACTGACCTACTCGATAAATACATATTGAACTTTTACCTGTGTCTATCCTATACAAGGATGAAAGAGGTGTAGAAAAAGAAAATTCCTTTCTTATCATCTAGCCAGGGTGATAAAACTAACATATATAAAACTATGAAACAATTAGTTACAAAAATAGATATTAATAAAAAATTGAGGAGTGTTTTCAGAGACAAAGAGAACCATGCTGTTAGGGGATGTGATCCCCATTTAATTTCAGGATAAAAGGTTAGAAAACTGCCTCTACGTAACTACATCTCAAACTGAAATATCACACTTTAGTATTTGAAAGGGCAATGCCAGCTTTTTCATTAAGTTCTTCTTAAAATTATATGCCTATCTACAGGTACCTATCTACATGATTTTTTAATGTAGTATCTCATTTAACTTCCTGGAGTCCTTTGTGTTCAGTAGTCTTTGTTTTGAGACTTATATAGTGCTGTAAGTCAGTTAAGTGGGGGGTTTTTAATCTTTAACGTTGAAAGTATTACATATATGTTCAAAATATATCAGTATTCAATAAATGTATATTGATTTAATTCACCTATTAAAAGCAAGATTTAATTCACCTATTAAAAGCAAAATTTATCAAACTGGGTTTTTTTAATCCAGCAAAATATAAGGAGAAATGGACAAGTTCATAATTATACTATGAGATTTTGATATAATTCCATCAAAAAGAAACTAGATCAAATAAGGGGGGGAAGATATAGAAGCATTGTTATCACCCTTGACCCAATATAATTAGATCTAATATATAAAATCATGCTCCAAACATGCATCTATTCAAGCACACAGACCATTTGCCAAAAATTTAAAAGACCAAATTCTGAATCACAAAGGAATTTGAAAGAATCAGTATCATAAGCAATAAAATATAGCCAAACTCAACATGCTTGTACATTCAAAATGCATTTCTAAATAACTTATGAGGGAAATTATAACATACTTGTTACTAAATGACTATAAAAATATATACAAATTTATGAGAGTATCTAAAGTTTTACTGTTTAAAACAAAGGTAAAAATCAAGGAAACAATAGAATCAATAAAATCAAAATTGAGTGCCTCAAAAATGTAATGAAAACTAACCTCTGGCAAAACCCATCTAGGAAAAGACACAAAGACCACAGAAATGATACTCAGAATAAAAAGAGCTATAGTTGTAGATATGATCTATTTTTAAACATTTTTAAATGTAAAATTTACCAAAACACAGTCAAAATCATTCAGCAAACCTGAGTAAACCAATCACCATTAAAGAAACTGAATTTATAATCCTGTGATCAAACTTATAAGGAACAGATAATCTCTACCTTATACCAATTATTTCACAGATTAGGGGGGCCAGGAGCATTTTTTCATGGCTAGCATAATCCTGAATCCAAAATTAGCATGGACAGATCAAGGAAAGAAATTTATAGACCAGTCTCACTAAATAAATATAGATGTAAAAATTCTAAATAAATTCCTGACAATGCAACTCAGCAGTTTGTTAGAAACAAAGTCCAACCGAGAAACTTTCATATCCTGTTAGTAGACCATAAACTGATACCAGCACTCTGGAGAGCAATCTGAAAATAGCCAGGAGTTAATGTTCATATGCTATGACATGGCTCCACTTCTAAGTGTGCACCCTGGCAATAATCTTGCATCTGTGTATACAGAAACATGTATTACACCATTGTTCTTAATAGCAACAACAAACAAACAAACGCCTAAAAATTCATCAACTTTTAGGAAAATATGCCAAATTGTGGCATATTTATTCAATAGAACAGTTAAAATGAATAAACTAGAACTGTATCAATGTATAGAGTGGAGTTTTAAAGATACAGAAGGATATCCATACATGATAAAGCAATAGAGCATCCATAAACATGGCTGCACAAACATGTATGTATAAAACATGCACTGGAGTGATGAACACTGAATTTATGTTCAAGATTAAACAGAAAGCATTACAGGGGATACATGGATGCTTTGATTATATCTGTAAAATGTAACCTTTCAACAAAAATCTGAGACAAATGTTACATAAGGTTAAAATTGATCAAGCTGGACGTCGGGTGTATGAAGTTTATTGTCCAAATACTAGAGATATTTCCCAAGAGGAACTCTGCCCCCAGTGGCCCTCTAGACCAGGTATCCCCATAGTTACCGGTAATTTCTGGTGCTCTTGGGAAAGGAGTCAACCACTGGCATTGTTATGAGAAATTTCTTTCTTTTTTGAAAGTTGTTGAGGCAGAGGAGATTCTATTTCTAACCTGGGGAGAAATCTACCGTATTTTCCGGCATATAAAACGACTTTTGAAAAGAAAAAAAGTCAACCAAAAATCGGGGGCAAAAGACCAAAATTGCACAAAAATTACCTGCAGATCCTGACGGCAAAGTAAGTCTTTTCTTTGAAGTGAGGGGTAGTCTCATACAGCGAATGTAGGCCTAAACCTGTTTTAACTGTAAAATTAGGTGCTGTCTTATACGCTGGAAAATACGGTAACATGAATTTTAATGGCTGTCAGTTTTCACAGTCCCACTAAAGCAATTGAAAAAAATTAGCTGCTTTCTTCTTCTGGATTATTCAGATCACCTCTCCCACTGAAAACAACTAAAAATAATTTATTTAAAAAAAAAAAAAAAAAAACCTTAAAAGCATAAAAGAGCTGACAGGATAGTACAGACAAAAACCTTTGGAAAAGGAGGTTTCTAGAGAAGCAAGCTAAGCAAAGCCTGCTTTCCTGTGGGGTGTTTGTTTTTGGCAGACTCGCCTAAGTAAAAGCTTCAGAAATCAAAACCCAGGCGCGGAGTCTAATAAGAGACCATATTACATTAGGACTCCCAAAGGCTGTAGCTTCTGGACCTACAGAAGCAGCAGGGGCTGTGAGTCGGACCAGATCGTTCCCACCTTGGGGAGCAGAGCAGAGAGAGTCAGCATAAGGGACCCGTCCTGGGAAACTAACACAGTGGCCTCAGACAGATTTGCAGCCCAGCCTCCTATCACTGGTGAGCCAAACTCAGAAAAGTATCTCAACCTAAATCTCAAATTGTCCCTACTAACTTTTCCAGAGCAATAAGCACCACATATACAAAAATAACCAAGCTCTCAAGGAAACAAGAACTCATTTGTGAGGATCTAAAAAAAAGTCAGAAACCAATATTTCAGAAGTTGGTATTATCAGATATAAATTATGGAAAAGCTATGTTTATTATATGTAAATAAATAAATAAAGACTAATCTACAGATTGGTAAACTATATAAAGCAACCCAACAGACTGGAAAAGAGATCTATTAAAACATTTAGAAATACAAAAAATGCAACTTATTTTCATGGATAACTTAACAGCAAATTAGATACAGCTGAAGGGGAGAATTAGTGAAATGGACAAAAAAAATTATCCAGAATATAAAACGGGGGGGAGGGGGAGAAAATTATGGAAGAAGTATTAAATATATAGAAGATAGGGTGGTATCTTAAAGGGTCTAATATCCATTTGGTCAAATTCTCAGAAGGAAATGAGACAAAGGGAATATTTTAAAAGATAGTGACTTGAAAATTTTATAGAAGTGATGAAATACATCAATCCACAGTTTCAAGTAAATCAGCAAAACCCAAACAAGATAAAAAGAAATTCACACTTATTAGATCATAAGGTAACTAAAGACAAAATAAAAATGATAAAGGCAGGCCAGATTTTAAGTGACAGATTTCCTTCTAAGGAACAACAGGTGAAGAGTTGCTAACTTCTCAGTAGCAAAAATGGAAGCCAGAAGATGGTGGAATGTTAACTCAGATAAGCCAAATAAAAATAACTTCCAAACAAGAATGCTATATCCATCAAAAAGGAGGATAAAATAAAGCCTAAGAGAATAGATCACCAGCTGACTTCCACTAAAGGCTTCCATTAAAGCAAGAAGAAAGAAAATCTCTCATGAGAGTTACATGAGAAGGAATTAAGGCATAGAAAGTGGTAAACATAACTAAATCTTAATAATATTGACCATATTAAACTATAATGACATGTGTGCTTTTAAAAAGATAAGACAGCCCTAGCCATCTTGGATCAGTGGGTAGAGCATCGGCCTGGAGACTGTAGGGTCAAGGGTTTGATTCTGGTCCAAGGCATATGCCTGGGTTGAGGGCTCCATCCTCAGTAGGGAGGCATGCAGGAGGCAACCAATCAATGATTCTCTCTCATCATTGATGATTCTCTCTCTCCCTCTCCTTTCCTCTCTGAAGTCAATAAAAATATATTTTTTAAATATATCTTTAAAAAATAGACAATTAAAATATGCAGTAGCAATAAGATAGGTTGGGAAAGAGGGTAGGGTAACGTGCTCTAAAGCCCTTGTATAATTCAGGGAGAGAGAAAGCAGTTCTAAACTTTAGACTGTGGTAAGTTAAGATTGCTTATTACCATTTATTGCATAATCGCTATAGAATAGAAATGGAGTACATACCTTTCAAACCAGTAAAGGGTGGCAATAAAAATATGCAAAATAGTCAATGTGTTTAAAAGTGGATACAATAGGGAAAGAAAGCAGCACAAGACAGGCAGGACAAAATAAGATTAGACAACATCACTGAACTCTGAAAACAAACTGTAGCCACCTGTGGAAAAGATGGATTCATCCCACAAAACATGATTCTATTTACTCACATTTCAAAAATAGTCTACATAGAGAAGCAGAGAAAGGTGGTAAAACATCAAAGGACAGCTTGGAAATTATCACCAAAGTCAAGGCTTAGACAGAAGATTTAGGGGTGCTTGGGGTATGCGTGTTCAAGTTTTGTGTTGCATTTCCAAAAAGAAAAGAAGTTTAAAACAAAGGTCTACCCTCAACAGTGTTTACTTCTTCCCTTCCACAGACCATCATCCACGGGCTGGTTCTTGCAGGCAGCTTCCTGATGTACTTTGTGGTCTCCCTAGTATACAACGCCACCTGCGTCACCTGCAACAGTCCCACCAATCCCTACGGGGTGATGCAAGTCCAGCTCTCAGACCCCACTTTCTACCTCGTCTGCTTCCTCACGCCAGTCGCGGCTCTTCTCCCAAGGTTTGAGCACTGGGGCCCTTTCTTCCTAAAATTGCCAATCTCCCCTCAATAAGCCATTTTCATAGCCCAGGCATCAGTAGTTTGACTCCTGGTTGCGATCCTTGAGGCTATAGTCTCAAGGAAAGGGTCCTAGGACAGAAAGAATGATGAACTTGGAGAAAAATACCACCGACTCTGGTCCTAGGTCAACCATAAAGTAGCCAAGTCACCAAATCAGGCATGGCCTCAGTTGTGACATCTGTAAATGGGAGTGATCATTCCTGTCCTCCAGCTTTACAAATTTTGAATAAGCACAAGCCTCAGAGGATATATTTCCCACCGCAGTCCTTCAGCCCAACACCCCTTGGGAGAGAGACCCTGGGAGAGACCATGAGGATTGTGCGCTCATTGGAAAAGGGCATCAAATGTGTGTTAACTACTTTTGTCCACATTTTGGGGGTTAAGTGCAGTTGTGATCACCACTGACCAAGGACTGAGCTCCTCTGTCCTGTGTCTTTTTTTTTTCTTTGGGGGGTGGGGGGCTGTAGAAATAGAAATTTATCAGCCCAGAATTCTTGGTCTTACCCTTGGCTGGAAAACACACTTGAAGCCAAAAGCTACCAGCCTGATTAAAATCCTTGAAAAGTATAAAAGACTGTTGACACATGCTTTGAAAAGACGCCACTGAACAGTACAGCTTGTTAAACAGAGACAAGTTAGCAAATATTTACTTGTTGGTTACCATAGCACATAAGTTAAATCTTTTTGCTTGTTCTACATTATCATCCTAAGGTTGAATTTCTGTTTAATTCTCTTTACTAAGAAAAGCAAAGAGGTTTCTTCTGAGAAAGGATTGTTTTAATAGTTCCAAAAACTGTTGACTTGTAACCTTGAAAAAATTAATGTTTGTTATAGAAATCTACATGATAGAATGTTTGCTGCAGAAAACTATTTGTTCCCTTAAGGTTATAAGCTGTATTTATCATAATGGAAGTAGATTTCACTCACCAACCTTGTGATAATTAGCCCACTAACCATGACCTCACTAATCTTAGTCTAATTAATTCAATCAGTACAAAAGAACTGTACAGAGTCTCTTAAAACCAAGAACATGTAAATGGTTTTGCGGATAAAAACAAAAGCCTGCACACACAAACCTTAAAACATAATGAGCACTTTAAATAGAGGATACCAATTTTTGGACACTCTCAGTTTTCTCCCACTGCATGTCCTTGACATGGTGTAGGTCAAGCCTTGGCCTTAGGTTCTTTTGTCTTCTAACTTTATAGTCTCTCCGTAGACATAGCAACCACTAGTATGAAGATAAATATTTTGAACATATGAATCTCCAAATTCCCAACCCAGACCTCTCTTCTGAATTCCAGACAATTTTTTTCTAGCTACTTATTCACCACTTCCACTAGGCATGTAAATTCAAAGAAATTGGGAGACCATCTGTAATTTAAGTCATGATCCTTCCTTCACCACCACCTAAGATACCTGGGTCTCTTCCAGAGTTTCTTCTATCAAATGCTATCCAATTAGGACCAAGGCAGACCCCTGCAAGTTATCCTTGATACCACTCACCACCTCATGCCCACATCTAGCTCATTACCAAGACCTGGCAATTCTATATTGTATATGTTTCTTAAATCCATCTGCTCTTTCCATATCTACAGCTACCACCATGGATAGATTATGTTCTTTCTTCCCAAATTACTGCAAAAGTATCTTAATAGATTTCACTCTAATCTACTATCACTGTGTCAAAGTATAATCATGTCATATGCTTAGAACCCTGACAGGGCTTACCAAGACTTTTACAATAAAGCACACACACACACAGGAAAAAAAAAAAAAAAAAAAAAAAAACAAAAACCTCTCAGTCCTTGCCTGCTCTGGCCCTGCCAACCCCTCTGTGTCATTTCCCCTCTTGTCCTCACTCTCCACATTTCAGCCATTGTACATGGATTTGGTTCTCACCTCCTATGCATGTCTCTTGCTCAAGGAAGGTGTCTCACACCAGATCATGTGTCCAACATGCTCACTGCTCCTTCTGTTTATAACTCTGCTCAGGTACCATAGGAAAGCAAGAACCTATCTGTCCTGTTCTCAGCTTAACCTCTTAGGAGAGTGGCCCACTGTAGAAACTTGAAAAGCATCTGTTGAATAAATGGATGGAGAAGGAATGTAGCACCAGCACGGTGGAAAGGTTTAAACTGAGAAAATTCCAGCTTTCAGGCAGGAAGTTGTCTTTTCTTAAACATGCCTACCTATACTGCCTCTCTGGGTGAGATGAGAAAGAATGGGCAAAGTTTACCTGATGCCATGGGAGTCTTCAGATACCCCTTGTCCCCTGTGAGGCTCTCTAAAGCTTTCAGACACAGTGGAAGGATGGGAGTCTTCTTATAAGGCTTTAGAAATAAACATTTTAAAAAGAATTATCTGGGGGAAAGATTCTGGATGTCTACTTTCTAGATAAAGAAATTGATACCCAGAGCCCAGTATCACAAGATGGTATATGCTTTCTCCATAGACCACACACTTATATTCACCTTCGTATTTTTCCCCCCAAGTGTGGAATAGAAAGACTCCAGGCACAAATAGAGACTTCCAATCCCGGAGTCCAGTACAGGCTACATGTAGCTTGGTTGGGGAAAGGAATCCTGGGTTAACCATCAGGGAGACCTAGCAACTGCTCAGGGGACCTTGGAAACCCTATCTCATATCTTGGAGCCTCAGTTTCTTCATCTGGAAAATGGTGCAATGCTGGGAAATTAGAATGACCCACAGATTCAAGAGAATATTTAGAAACTACTTAAATTCCACAAAGGGTTGATATTGCAAAGAACATTTGCCTAAATCAGGATAGCCCACAAAGAGAAAGGACTGCCCTGTACATGGTAGATAAAACTCAAGGGATCCAGAGTGCTCAGTTCTGACCACAGGGAGACCACTGTGTGACTCTGGACAAGTCACTTTCCTCATGTGTAACAAAAAAAAAGTACCAGCCACATGGGATTGTTGGGAAAGATGAGTTAATAACATTAAAGCATTTAGAAACATTCTGGTTCATAATAAATGTTAGTTATTACATATTGTTATTGAACTCCCAAATCTCAGAGGTGCCCAGGCATAGATTTAATGACCACAGTCAGGAGCACAGCGAAAAGGATCTTGCCATGGGTGGGGAGTTGTGAAATGCTAAAGTTCAAGACGTCAACAAAAGTCAGGAAAAAAAAGATTTATTGTTGTTTCTCCTTCCCCACTAGGTACTTTTTCTTGTCTTTACAAGGAACATATGGGGAATCCCTGATCTCAAAAGCTCAGAAAATTGACAAACTCCCCACGGACAAAAGAGACCTGAAAATCCAGAGTTGGAGAAGCAGACAAATGCCTGCCTCTGTCCCTGGAGAGGCTCAGCGCAACCACCGTCCAGTACCACCTGTCCCTCAACAGGACTTCAGAGCCAACACCCCAAAGAGCTCCAGTCCTCCCAAGCAGAAGTACAAGGAGAACCGGGGGCTGCATGGAGAGAGAAGCAGCAGAGACCACAGGATGGACAACCCAAACTCAGCAGACTCCTCAGCTAAACTCTCATCCAGAGATCACCTCCTTCTGGGGCCCAACAGCAGGATGGCACCCGGGGCCTACCCCAGTGGGCAGACTGATGAATATAGGCCCTCGAGCAGGGGCAGCCATCGCCGATCCCAGAGTTCACTGACTATCTGAGGGACCTGCAGAAATCTGTACAAACTTGGGTTAATTAGGTTAGCAATTGGCCTTCCTCTCCATGGAGAAAAGAATGAGCCAGTCTTAGTCTTTTCTCCCCGCCAGGCTTGAATTCCTTACAGGAAGTACTGGCTCCAAGGGGAATGACCAAAAAAAGGTTGGAAACCACTCAACCTCCAGTTTCCTCTTGCTGTCAGGGGGCACACCTTGCAAACAGAGTTTCATAAAGAGGCTTTGTATGTTACTATGGCATCGAGTCCTCAGAGACATTCTTGTGATCCTCCAGATAAGTACAGCCGACAACCCAATACATAAGTTTCCAAGATTCCAAATGTATAAACCCAGGCAATCTCTCAGGCTGTGGAAGTTTCTAGTCTTGCCACACCATCACTTCACCGCACGGGTGCCAGAGTTTAAATTTCAGAAGAGACCCATACAGGCAGGTGCTTCATCTTGATTGTATTGCAGAGATGGCCACGTGGGAGTTTACATCCCTTTCTCTCACCAAGAGTAGGGGCGCTGTTTGTCTCTAAGTCAAATAAAACTACATCTAAATATTAAAACTAGACTTGAACTTCAGAGGGTTGTGGGACCACAGCTAGTATAAGAGGCAGAAAGAACAGAAGCATTCTGAGAGAAATGGGTATACCAGAAGCCCTGTGCTTTAGCTGACAGACCACATGTCCCACAGCCTGGGAAATCTACCAAGAGAGCAGCACTTTTTTTTTAAGCTATTTATTTTATTTGTTTTTATATTAAGGGTCCCACTCATTCGGTTCTCAGAACAGGAAAACTCTAAGATGAATAGATCTTAGAAAATCTGCCCACAGAATAGACCCATATAATGCAAACAACTCTAAACCCAAACAATGACATCTTCAAGGGCAGGGCCAACATGAAATCCTGTTCATTAAATCTATCCCAGAGAGGAGTGTCACCTGGAGGACACTGGCACATGCTTCCATTCAATTAGGGAGGGACATAGGAAGTCTCACTTCACAGGGAAAAAGATTACATAGGCTTCTTACCCCTAGAGATAGTAAATACCAAAAATATAAGAGCTCAAAAACAGTGTTGAAATAAAAGAATGGATGGTAGAATTCTAATAGACTATCAGGAGAAACTACGTCTACTATGGGCAAGGATAGCCTGTCCCTAGTCTTTTAAGATAAGCCAGGGAGGGCTACTAAACCTTTTATCCTTAAGGCAGTGCCTATATATTACACAAAATCCTTATAGATTAGGAACAAATGCAACAAGTCTTTGAGCCTAATTGTCATAGCCACCTCGCTTGAATAACTTTTCAGCAACAATGCCCCCAAAAGATCTGAACAACCAAGTTGGCAAATGACAGACTGAGCTGGCCCTCTGACCACCCTGCTGACAAACCTGAACTGGAGAAGCCACTTGGAGCACTATTCTGGAGCCAAAATACTGGATCTCTTTCGCTGATTCTGCCACATAATGACACAGGCACTGGCCAGCTGGTAGGCATTCAGGGGAATTCTACAAGAGGATTGCTAAAGGAGAAACACAGCAGGCAAAGCAGTAATGACTTTGTCCTGAATAAGAGGATTGAGCCAAAACTCAGATTTCAGGGTCCCTTTCTCCATTATGATTCCTGCTCAGTCCTGAAAGCCAGATGAGAAAGCATGCTTCAGAAGAGACCTCAGGAGATCTCAGGCATAGTTCTTTGTTCTCTAGAGCCAGGAACCTTGAAGCAGGATGCCACACCTACAAATTAGGGTAGAACTGCCTCCCGGGCTTGGCATAGGAACAAGTCAAAGTTACATAGGAGGTGAGGGAGAGAAGGAAAGTGAAAACCCTTTGAAAGTTGTAAGACCCTCAGTATAACACAGGGATATTTATTTCAGAGCTTAGAGGAAAAGAGGTGATAGAGAAGTTGAGAAAATTTCTGATCCTAACGCCTAAATGCCAAACCATACCCATCATTGTGATGCTGCTCTCATTCTTGCATGACCAACCATCCCAGTTAGACTGGAATTTTCCCAGTTTTAGCACTGAAAGCCCCACATCCTGGGAAACTCCTCAGTCCTGGGCCAACTGGTCACCTACTCCTGCCCTTCTTTGTAAACCAAATCAACTGTGACTATCCAACATGCCACCTTAGGGAGAAAAGTTATAAAAGCTATTTCCGTATAACATAATCCCAATGATTGTACTTAATACATTTTTATATTTTTATGACCTTTTACTGATTGACTGGAAATGTGCTGTCCTTTTTATTAAAAGAAAAAAAAATAAACATGATTTTCCAAAATTGCTTGCAGTTCTGAGTCCTCTCTCATCCATCCACCCTTTTTTGCATTCACTCATCTGTTCATTCATTTATTCACCCATCCATTCACTTATCTACCCAATGAACTTCTAGTAAGCCCCCAGTAGAGGCCTGTGATGTGCTAGGAGCTTCAAGGAGCTCATCCCTGACTTAAATAAGCTCATAGCCTTGTTGGACATAGAGTATCAGAACAGATTTGGTCCAATGTAAGAGTGTGACACCAACCAAACTGGGTACAAAAATTAGAAGCAGCACACACAGTCCCCTCTCTCTGAAACTCTACCCTGCCTACTCCCCTCTCCTGGAAGCCTGCGCCAACCTCAAACCCATGTTGATTAGGTGCCCTCTCTCACTCATTCAGCAGATATCAAAGAGTGCCTGCAGTCCACAGCATTGTAGCATGCAACAAGCATAAAAGATGGGACAAAGAGAGGTTCAGCTCCTACCCTCCAGGGATTGAGTCTAGAAGGGGCGACAGGGAGGAGGGAAGGGGGTAGTTCCATGGCAATCAGAGAAGGCTGCTCCAAGAAAAAGACAACTTAACCATAAGATAATTAATTATGAAAGCCCTGAAAAAGGAACACAGTTTGGAAGATTCAAAAAGTTAAGGGGAAAAAAGAGAAAAGAGGTCAGTGTGACTAGAAACCAGTAAGCAAGAGGAAATGCCCATAATGTTAGTAATCACAACTGCATTAGCTTACTGGGGGCTAGGAGCTGGTCTAAGCACACATCATCACATGAACCTCACAGCCACCCAGCAAGTAAGTACCATTATTCTCCCCTATTTCATTTAGTGTTGGTGACATAATGAACCACCTTCAAGATTTAGAAGATTAACACAATTATTCATGTGCTCACGATGGTGTACTTGGGCAATTTGGGCTGGGACCTCCCTCCACATGGTCTCCATTCTCAAAGACATCAGCCAGCCTTGTCACATGGCAGCAATTTTCTGGGAGCAAGAACAGAAGCTGCAAAGTCTCTTGACATACAGGCTTAGAACTCACACATCATCTTTTCCACCACATTCTCTCAAAACAAGCCACAAGGCCAGCCCAGTTACAAAGAGGTGGGAAAATATACCCCACCTTTAATGGGAGGAGTTACAAAGAAATCTGAGACTATTTGTAATCTACCACATTCCATTTACAAAAGGAGAAACTGAGGCAGAGAGAGATTACATGAATTCAGCACAGTCACACCATTAACAAGTGGGGAGGCAGCATTCTAGTCCCAGAAGTCTGAAACCAGAGTCTATGCTCTTAGCCACTGAGCTACACAAATGTGAGACAGGGACCAGGGACCAGAAGGGGCTTGTCTTCTCGACAGTCCTTTGAGAGACACGGTAAGCACAGTGCTTAACTAGCCTGAACTCCATCCCAACTCTGTCACAGGCTGGCACGGTGATCTAGCCCACATTGTTTAGCTGAGTTGCTCACCCAGACCAAAGCTTCAAAAAGTAAGGAAGAAAGCAGTCACAGGAGAACCAGAATGTCAATTATCTCCCGTGAGCTGATCACGTAGCCAGAACTTTCCATTCTGCACACAGAGCACCAGGAGAAATCAACCTTCTGGGAGTGAATTCCCCCAGGTAACCAGAGAACCAAAGGGGGATGGAGGTGTGGGATCCAGAAAGTAGGAACCATGAGCAGGGACAATGCCCAAAAAGGTAGGTCTTTAGAGGGTACAAGAACTGCCCAAACTTCAGGACTCCTGAAAGGAGGATTCATGCATTTTTACACAAGAGCCGAGACTAGCAACCTTTTGTTCAAAGGCGTTCTGGTGCCACCTAGCAGCCGTGGTGGAGCAGCTACACCTAAGGGCTCTTCCTGCAGGGAAGCAGGGCTGGGGGAACCAAGCCAGGAGTCAGCAGGCCAGATTTTAAGTCTGGCTCAGCCCAGGGTTTCTGCTGTGACGCTGGACACATCCCTTCACCAGGTTTCAACTTCAAACTGAGATTCAGTCAGTTTCCCCAAATACTCAAGGTGGGAGCTGGGCTGTTCCAACATCCTGTGGTTCTGAAAGCTATTTTGGGGAAGCTGGTTATAGTATAGGCATGACTCCTGGTAAATCAATTTGTTAGATTCTCACACATGCGTGCATAAACACACACACACACACACACACACACACACACACACGCACACACATGCATGCACGCAAGGTGGAAAATCCCATGGGGGAGGGACCGACCATCTGTTCTCTGCTGTGTTCCCAGTGCTGGGCTCACTGCAGTGCTCAACAATGTCGTGTTCTTGCTGTTAAAGAAAAATCAGCTTTAACCTGTTTGGCTCAGTAGATAGAGCATTGGCCTGAGGACTGAAGGATCCCACACTTATTCTGGTCAAGGGCATGAATGTTGGTTGCAAGCACATCCCCAGTAGGAGGTATGCAGAAGGCAGCTCATCGATGTTTCTAATTATCCCTCTCCCTTCCTCTCTGTAAAAAATCAATAAAATATATTTTTTAAAAGAAAAAGGAAAAATCATAGGGCCCAGCCCACATCGCTCAGTGGTTGAGCATTGACCCGTGAACTAGAAGGTCACAGTTTGATTCCAGTCAAGGCATATACCTGAGTCCAGTCAATCACCATTGGGGGGGAGGCATGCAGCCAATTGATGATTCTCCCTCATTATTGATGTTTCTATCTCTCTCTTACTCTCCCTTACTCCCTGAAATCAATAAAAATATTTTTTAAAGAAAAATCATAAATAGGGGCTGGTCTCAGTG